GGCATCATATGATCGTAAACACTTCCATTTAACTCTTAAATGAAAAGCCACAAATACAGAAAAAAGTGAGCTATCAGCACTAATTACGATGCATATATCCCTTCCTTCTTGTCACATGTAGCTTCTTGGCATTCCAGAAACACCTTTAAACAAGGTGAGCAATGTATGTGATCCTGAAATTCCATTACATACCCCAAGGTAGCTTTGCAATTATTGGGCCACTCAATGGGGCTTCCCATTTCAAATCATATTGTCAAAAATCTACGTAGACCCTCAGCTTGCCAATCATCCCTCCTTTGAGGAAAAAAAAAAAAAAAATAGAAAAATAACACCGAAGTGTGGATAACAAATTCATTGCCCCGCATACATATTCATAATTAATTTCTTGCTCAATGTAGCCATCAAACTCGACTATATAACCTATCCCACGATTTCAGTATAAACAACATTCAGCATCATTCTTTGCCTACTTTCTCTTAACAAATAAAACATTAATTTCATTACGTCTAGCCCAAGTTTCTTCTGCTCATCTCAAAAAAATGCCATACAAGTAGGAAACTGGACTCATAATGCAAGTCTTCATTTGAATCAAGAAAAAAAGACTGATCTATCCCTAAGAGATATGAGATCAGGTGAAGGAAGTCAATAAGGAAGAAGAAAAATGCTGAAAGCATAGATGGGTCCAGTGCTACATTGCTTCAGTGCACAGAACCCGTTGTTGTTTTCTACGTTCCACAGCAATAGAGTAAAGAATGGATATGAATAACAAATAATGATTCTGGAAACCATCTACAGACAGCCTCTTCTAAATATAGAAAGCAGCAAGAGAAAAATAAAAAAATATATTTGAAATTTGACTGAGCTGCTATGAAGGACTGCATCTTCATCAACCACAAGAAAACAGTGAGATTCTGTAATAACAGTCTGAAAGAACAGCAAGAAACCCGTGTGTCAAGGTGTAATTTGTTCTCTTGTGTTGTTAAGATCTCCTCTTAACATGAGGTTCCAGCTGCTCTTCTGTTTGAAATAATGCCTTGTTGCTGGATTGTTTACAACAAGGAGCAATCACCTACCCACACTGCTCTGAAGCCAGTCTGTGAAGCACTCACTCCTGTCAGGTCAATGAACTCATTTTACTGACCTCTCCATCCAGCAGCACGTTACCAGCATGCTGATGACCACAGCCCACAGGTGCACAGAGCACTTCAACAGAGGGAGAGCTCCAGCATGCCATTATCTACGGAGTGCCTGATCTGATGGAAACTGCTGTAGCTCCTATCCTGCTCCCATCTCTGCCAAGCTGGTATCAGCTGAGATGTGGCAAGAAGCTTCAATTCAGTTTTGAAGCAGCAAGAAGATAGGATTCTCCAGCACAGTGAGCACACCTTAATTCTGGAAGACTTCAAAATCTTCATCTCTGAGGTATTACTCCAAATAAATAAGCTACCTGTAGAGCTAGAACAGTGACCAGCAAATGTGCTGAAGAAATGAACAAATGAGAATCATGCAGCAAAGACAGCATGTCGGGTGGTTGTTTGTTTTGTTTTTGCTGTGTTGTGTACAGGGGTACACTGAAGGGAGGTAATAAGAGACGCATAATATGTTTTTTCTACTCTTTGTTTTGATAAGATGATTACTTCAAATCATTCACTTGTATTATTTTGCCATTCCCATACCCATTAAGGAATGAAATCATAGTAATCAAATTTCCTAATTTGGTTGCACTTTGCAACATAGGAAGTCCCTTAATCAGAACAATGAACGTTCTCCTTTTAACTTTCCATTACCCACGGAACTGGCAAAAACACAACATACATGTTTAAACATTGCCAGCTCTGAGGGCAGCAAGGCTGACTGCTTGCTTAGAGGAAAGCATGACAATAAAAAACCACACAAGCACGCTTTTCCTGACAACTGATCCAGAAACCCAAACCAATTCTTGTTCTGTTTTACTGTCTGGACTACAGTTTAAATGACAGCAGGTAAAAAGGCTTTGGTCTGTAAGCCTCTGAGCATCAGAGGTAGGTTTAAGTGCAGAAGTCTCATAGATGTATTTGCCTTAATGAAAGCATCATTTTACCAGGTATCTCTTATTCAAACTTAACAGTGAAAGAACCAGTACATACTATGACTATATTGCAGATGTGTTAGCATTAAATGCATCAGAGCCCTCAGTCCTGGCAGTGCCATCATTACACAACCACAGCTGCCAGAGCAGCTGCATTAACACTACATACCTGCAGTCTCTGGGCATGTCTTTGCTTTAGCCTTGTTTGTTAGAAGTCTGGTTTTTCTGAAACCTCATCACTAATTTTAATAAACACAACAAGAAAACTTCACATCCTTTGAGCAACCTCCAAAGCCTAGGTGATATTTGGAAGAAGCACAGCCACAGCACTAGGTGTCCTGGCTGTACCTAGGCAGGCAGCCTGCTCCAGGTGCCCCAGCTTGCATCAGCCAGGCAGCCAGCTACAGAAGTAATGAGGACACCTGTTACCTATGAAACAAGAAGATACGGCAAGTGTAACTGTGCATTGCCCTTACAGGAGTTGTAGAAGTCAGTGATAACTTGCTCTGTTGCAGGACTGTTTTTATGGCCCACATCTGCACAAAACCGAGCATGGTGGTATGAAGCCATGTGAGAGCTCCCAGACTTTCAGTTCCAATACAATAGAGTTTTCTAAGCCACCTAATATCAGCTACAACCTACTGAGTCCACCAATGAAGTAGCTGTACTAGCACACTTTCATAGGAACATGACAGAAATACTTGGCCTCACCCACAGGTGTTTTAGCAACTACACAGCTGAACAGAGTCCAACAGGAAGACAGGACCCAGAAGTATGGACTGTAGGAAGCTGCCATTAGCCAAGGGCAGACTGAGGTACAGCCTGTTTTCATTGGCTGTACTGCTATGAGACACACAAGAGTCATCTTCATACTCTTGCTCAACAAAACCATCAGGGTTATTCCTGCACAACACACAGTGAGATGACACACAAGTCAGCACTGCTAGATGAGAACAGCCCTATCTTCCCTCTCATTCTGGGAAACCCCTCTCTTTGCTTACCTCCTTGTGGGCTCCACTGAGCCAAGTCAAGTCAGTTTTGCTTACTAAAACAGCAGAAAGTAAAACCAACCAAAAAAAAAAAAAAAAAACCAACAGTTTCCTGCCATTTTGACGATTTAATCTAACTCCAAACATGGGAGGAGGCCCTGACAGCATGAGGCCCTCAACAGGAAACGGAAGAAAGGAGAGAAAAAACCCTCCTTCCTTCAGCAGCAGCCACAAGTAGTTAGCGAGGGCCAAAACAGCCACCAAGATCACACCACAGTTTTTCCCCATTCCTGATCTTTGCTCAGCTGACTGAAAGAAAGCAGCACATCCATTAAGCGTGGCCACCTCCCCCTCCCCGGCGGAACGCAGCACCGCGTGCTTCTCACCTGGCACCGCCTGCCCCAAGAGCAAGGCTGCAGAGAAAAAACCAGTCCCGTGCTCTGTGCCCCGCAGCACATTTTGGTTTGTGTAAACACAGGGAATGAGAAAAGTCATTCATTTGCAAAACCAGTTGTATTTCTTGACTTCCAAATCCGCCTCCAAGTTGCCAAGTTTTGGGTTTTTTTTTTTATTTCTCTGCTTTGCAACTGCCGCAGCCTTGACAACCCCAGCTTTATGCACGGCTTTCCTTAGACTGTACAACGTCTCAGTGTTCACACTGTTAGGAGAAAGGCGCTCTTTTCCCAAATGCATTTATCAAATATGGATTTCGTGCGTGCACCCAGCGGTAGCGGGCAGATAACAGAACCGAGGTGCAGCCCACACGTGCCACGGGCATTTTGTGCAGCCGTACCTCTAACTTCGGGAAAAAACGCACGCAGCTCCAGCTCACGCCATGGTACTCCACAGAATCGCTACGAGAGAAATATTAAGGGAAAAAGAAAAAGCTCTCCTCTCGGATCTCCGTTTGTTTTGATGCAGGCACTGAGGAGCGCCCTGTCTACAGGCTACACTCACTTTGCAACCCTTCTACGAACAAGGCCTCCACAAAGCGACCCAGGGGGAAATCCCAAGGCAGACAGAGGGGTTCCGCGCCTTCTCCCTCCGCTCACCGCCTCGGGGCCGCGGCGCGATGCTGAGGGCGGGCGTGCTTCCCTTCCCCGGCGCCTCGCAGACAAAGAGTGGAGCGCGGCGGCGGGAAGGGGAGCGCCGACCCCGGGGCACGTTCCCGCTCCCGGCCGCGGGCGGCCGAAGAGACGCCTTCCCCGCGCCTCGCGGGGACAAAGGAGGGCTGAGAGCCTCTGGGCCCGGCCGCCGCTCTTCGCCCCCAGCCCACGGCGGCCCCGCGCCGGGCGGAGAGAGGGGAAGGGGCGCGGGCGGCCTCAAGGTGACACCCGGCGACGCCGGCCGGCCTCCCGCGCTCCTCTCACCTGGCACCTGCAGACGATGTCGGCGTCCTGCGCCAGCAGATCCACCACCTTGCCCTTGCCCTCGTCGCCCCACTGGGCGCCCAGCACGACGGTCACCTTGTTGCCGGGGAGGCGGGCCGCGCACCCGCCATTGGGGATGGCGGGCGCCGGGGCGCCGTGCTCCGCCATGGCTCGCGCTGCCCGCTCCGGCGCCGCTCCAGGCACATGCGGCAGCGCGCGGCGGCCCCGCTGCCCCCGCCTCCTCCCGGCCGGGCGGGGATGCCGCATCCAGGTGGTGGTGCCGCCCACCGGCACCGCCCGCCCTGCCGAGCCGCCTCCGGCAGCGACCCGCCCCGCTGCCGCTACCGGCGCTCTGGGCGCCTTCTTCGCCCTTGCGCCGATCTCCCGCGCCCCGCGGCGCGGACTACGCTACCCATCGCGCCCCGCGGTCCCCGCCCGGCGGCCTGCCGCGCGGAGCTGGGCGCGGTGCACGCTGGGGCGCGTGGTTCCCGCGAACGGCACCTGTAACTGCAAACAGTTGGTCAGCGGCCGCCCCAGGCGCCACCGCGGCGGCGCGAGTCCGCGGCCGTTAGTGACAGGGTGGGCAGTGATGGTGCCGCTGCGGGCGTTGTTCCTTCTGCTCCTGCTGCGGCCGGAGACAGACTGCGCCCTGTGGAGGTGGAAGGAGGGGGCAGGGGCGCCAAGTGGGGCTGTGGGGCGGGAGGAGGCCATGAGCGCGGCTCGGGGTTACGCGTGATCTGGTGCCTCGGGTCCTCTTTCTGACTCCCCAGCACGCAGCAGCCCGTGGCTGAGGTGCTACAGGTGTGCTTGCGCGTCGCCAGAGCCACAGAAATGAGCGTTTCTAGAACACGGGGTGAACGTGAGAAGCCATTTTCTCCAGAGGGGTCGGAACATGGCCCTAAGCTTACTCATGAGGAAGAACAATAATGGAAAAAACCCATCTCAGAGAAATGCCTTCCTCGTGCATACTTGAGGCTTTAGAAGTGGAACTAGTGTCTCAGGGGCTTTCATTCTTTCCTACTTCACAGAATCAACACGCCTAGGGGAAAGAATTTTTTTGAAAGCAGCTATTAAAAAGGCATAAGTCTAAATGATGTAATTACTGCTCAGACGGCTACTCAGAAACATGAGTCACTGAGCAGGCGCTGGCAGTCTGCAGCTATCGGGCAGGTCATGGAGTTATGTTGGGTTTTAGTTGCGTCTGTGTTCCTTCAGGTTCACTCCCTTCAACAACCTTCAACAACTGCAGGAGCTATAAAATTCACCAGAGAGAAGGTTAACCAGTTAAGGGTAGAAAGATTTATAATAAAATCTATGTAGGACAAGGAGAAACAGCCACAAACTGAAGTGTAGGAAGTTCCACACCAATGTGTGTAAGAACTTCTTCACAGTAAAGGTGACAAAGCAGTAGAACAGGCTGCACAGAGGTTTTGTGGAGTCTCCTCTGAAGATATTCAAGACTCATCTACCTGTGCAGTCTGCTGTAGGGAACCTGCTTTGGCAGGGGGTTGGACTAGAGGTCCCTGACAGCCATACAATTCTGTGGTTCCATGGTTCTGTGATAGTTGGCTGAGTTCTGTGGAAAGATGTTGAGCAATTGCAGGTGATATGAGACAATTGTATGTATGCACTTTAAAGAGTAAATGAGCCCCTAACTCTTGATACTGTGCACTGTATTAATATTTTTGGCTGCTAAAAACCATAGCAATGGTGTTCCACTGGACAGAGCATTGGGGAAGTCAGTAAGAAGCACGAGGAGCTGCTGAAGTCTGTCTCACCCATTTTGCTGATGCAATGGAAAACTTGGTTCTAGTACAGTCACTTTGAAATAAACTGTACACTGTCTCATAACTCTCCAAAACATGGTCCTGATTTAGGATGTGATTTTCCAGTTTAGCTGAAAGATACTAATGCTAAACCGTTGCCAGCACAAATATTCTCTTGAAACTCAAAATATATTTGAGTCTTCATGGATAGTGTTCTGATAACATGGTATTAGTGCATTGCTACTTTCCAAAGAGGTACTAGACACATATTGTCATTCTGCTGCTATTTTTATTCATTACAGACAAGTTTTGAAATTATATTTTGGTGTGATTTCTTGGTAGGGATAGAACTGCGGAAGAAAACTATGAACTCTTTACCTCCAGGAAAGATGTAAGTGTTTAATGAAGATTGAGGTAATCAATACTGATTGGTATGGTGAGGTTTAGAATTTTTAGTTAATATACATCTGCCATCCCTCCCCCCACTCCTCCCTTTTCTTTGCAAACTAAAGGGAGGTTTCACTCTAATACCACAAGAGATGCTAAATTATCTACACAATTCACTGTGTTTGTAGTGTACTTATAAAAAACACTAACTCTTGACCAAAGCAGAAAAACAACAGGCATCTAATGTCCCTTGTCAAAAATAGGCATTTAGTTGTAGTATAAGGAGGAGTTTAGAATAATACTGTACAGAAGTACCCAATTGCACTAATTTTGTTTAATATGATCAAGAGAACCAGCGAGAGCTTGCAATGTTACAGTAGTTCTTTTTCTTCTAATACGAAGGGGATCTATTAACTTTTTTTCTAGTTCAGCAAGCCAAATCTGCTTTGTGTGAGCATTTTGAGGTGATGCAAAGTTTATCTCCAAGGAGGGAAATGAAGAAACGTGACTGCTTTTTCTGGAACTAACAAGCATGGTATTGACTTAGTAAAACTGACTGCACCCGGGGTAGAAACGTACACTGATAAAGTTTAGGTTTTATTGTCTTCTGAATTGCTCAATGTGCCTGCTTGGAGAAAGTTATAGTTAGGATAGATTTCACTGTAACTCAGGTACATTCAGGCTTTTGACTTTAGTCATTTTCTGCCTCTTGATAAACTTCAAGAGGCTCCAACAGGAACTTTTAATAAATAAACACAAACTGGGAGCAATATGAGATAATTGTTGTATTTCATTCAGCTGAGTTGAAGGTATAGATGGAAATGTTACAGATGTATGTTTTGAGTTATTCTAATGAATTCTAATCTCAACTATTCTGATTTTTTTTAAAGGGTTATAGAACAATTTGCCTACATTGTTTAGAGCAGGATTTAGCTAAGAACTTCAATAGTTCAAACAATCAAGGGTGAACATGAGTGCAAAAATCCAAGAATGTCTGATGGATTATTAGGTGTTGCTCAGCATGGCTTATGGCTCACAGGGTGTTATTTCTTTGACCTTACTCATACTTATTAAACATGTTGAAAGACAACTGAAGGGTATGAATATTTCTTCTGATACTGTTTTTCCTCCTGTAAGTTTAATTTATTTTTTTGAAAGAATACAGATAGAAGAAATAAATAGACCACAGCAATGCAAATGTCAGAACACATGGCCCATGCTACAGGTTTTTTGTTAAAACTAGTTGTTTCTGCTCAGATATTTTGCACAGAGTAAAATACCTACACTGGAATAGTGGTTGTGGAAAAGTGATCTGTAGGTATCCTACAGAACTATGTGAAATGAGAAAATGTTGAAATTCATCACATTAAGTCATTGAAATATTTAATGAAAAACTGGTTAATTTTACTTCCTGTTCATATATGGCATCTTTATCTAAGATATATTGTGGCTCACAAAAAAAAAAATATATATATATATTGGTTGATAGTGCCATAGTCCAGAAAAGCCTTAAGAATTACTGTACCAGACAATGTTGACATCTTTAGCACTTCAAACTCTCCAGGATGCTGTTACTTCATCTTCCAATTACTTTATAGAGACAAGAACCGATTATCCAGGAAGGAAATATGTCATTTTATTTGAACATTGTGCTTGATGTAATGGATCCCTTCTTGTTTATTGCTGTTTTTAAATTAGTTATTCAGGTTAAACTTTTCCATAAGTATTTTTGGTAAAATTCATTAGTCTTTTTGTCATGATGAAAACAAGATTAAGCACATTATAAAGTAATAGTTGTACACGTCATAATCAATAGATTATCACACAGCAATTGTTTCAACTCTGGTTAGATGGATCTAGAATATGAAGGAACTTTATTCACTGAGAGGGATTTTCGTGATATATGCGCTATTGAAGATAAAAGGTAAAGACTTCACAAATGAGAAACATCATCACAACAGCTGTACTTTGAGTTCAATGAGAGAATAGTTAAGATAATACAGTATGCTTTTTAAATTTTCAAACCACCTACTGTAAAGAGGTGTCTCTTTGTATGCAAGTGCAAGTAAGGTAGCAACAAGCAAGACTAAAGATTCTCAGGAAAATAAAATACTTTGGGATTCGTTCTTTGAGAAGTTGCAAAGCTACATCCTTTGCTTGGAAATGAGATTTGTAAATTATGAATTGCAGAGACAGCTATTTAATGTAATAATACTAAGAAAAATGAGGAAAGAAATTTTAAGTGAGTTCCTCAGATCTATGTATTCCATTTTCCCTGAAAGCATGGAAAGTGAATTGTTGTCTTTACAGATGAGAAGTGAGTTTTCGTATGGATGACATTTTAATTTCAATATTTACCATAAAAACTTAAATGGGAAAGTGAGAAAGTAGACGTATTAAATAGAAATTAGCTTCTACTACCATGTTCCCCCAGAATTTCATTGTTCTCAATCTCTGTCTTGGCCTTTCACAGCATCAGACATTAGAAGCTTAATAGAATGCATCATGTGATAGATAGTTTGGGTCATTAACTTTCTGCAGTACTTCTGTACATTTCTTAGGAACCCAGAAGTTGTGCAGTATTTGACTGAGAGTGATGTTAAATTGGCAGAAAGCTTTTTCTTCTTCAAAGGTCCGGTTTTTTGTTAGAATTTTTCCCCTTAAAACGGTCATTGCAAGAGTATCACCTTGAGGGGGGAGCACAGTAGCTCCAAATTTACATCAGCTTTATCTGTTTGAAAACAGCAGCCTTTACCATCTCCTGGAAGTGCCTTAAGAACTGTGGGTGAGATCTACTACACCAACTATGTTTGTATTTGGTTGTTAAATATAGGTTAGAATATGCTTTTTTGTCTGTTTTATTTGCTAATCTTTAACCTGCGTTACCTGCTAAATCCTTCGTTTCTTCTGCTGGTAATCCTACCTGATGTTTCTGGACAAGATGGATGAGAACAGGCTGGTTAACGAGGTGAAGTGTGACCTTAAAGACAGGCAGTCAGGATGTGCAAGCATCTAGAAGGGGCCATACCATTCCGCATGCTTAGATAGTTTAAGGACTGGGAAGTGTGCCCTGCCAGCTGGCTGTCCTTCGGGGGCTTGTTTATACAGCTCTTGAAAGAGACTGGTCATGTAATTCTTAATTTCCTCCAAGTGTCACTGATTCTGTGCATTAGCAAAGTTAGCTCACATACAGGTAAGGTAGAACTTGAGCTAAAAGCTTAATGCGTATTTTATATGTTTTTAGGCTCACGTTTCTCTCACTTTTTTTTTAATAAATAATTTATAATTTATAAATAATGCCCTAAACGATCTATTTTTTTAGTCTTAGAAACATTGATTGCCTGTAACCTGAATACTGAACTGCTAGGTTGTATAGTCTGTTAAGAGACAGTTCTTGCACAGACTCCTGAAGAGAACCCTGAAATGCTGACTTTTCATGATTTAATCTAAGTAGATTTTCAGACAAATGTCTGTTGTTAACTACTCTGTTACGTACAGTCTTTATTTTTTAAAATAACTGCAGTTCACCCAAAACAACACTGAAATGTCAGTTTTCCGGAACTTACTACATAAAACCAAAAGTAAAGACTGAGGTAAACGGCCAAAATAAGTTGTATAAAAATTGATTGCGGTCTCATTGTGTGCACAGTGATGGTTTGAAAGCAGGTGTCTCTCACAGCACCCACAGCCTGTTATGGAATGGAGTTCCTGAGCTGGATAAGCTGTTTACAAAATAACTGTCTTTAGGGATAAAGGTGCTGAAGGGGAGCTTCCAAGTAAGAATGGCGTTTGTTATTACATTAACTAATGTAATAATGGCTCATTTGGTTGCAGGCTTTATCAGTGAGTTCTGAGATTTATGGTAGCCCCTATTATTTTATTAAAATATTAAACATGTTACACTCATCCCTTTGATGTCCATTTCCTCTTGTTACACAGATCGTGTGCTTACTGTATTTTCTCTGGTAAGGCAGCTGCTTATCATAATCACAAAAAAACCCTCAACTATCTCAAAATAGCTTTTGTAATGACCATTGGTTGTTTTTGTACACATTCTGCAGTATGATTGCAGCTAAGAAATATGGGGCAATTTTATGGATTTTAACCCTAAATGAGAGACCATTGTACATGTGTTATTCAATTTCTTATTGTGTCAAAAGTCTTCATTAATACGGGGAACTGGAATAATGGTATTTCCTGCCTGTTAAATGGGATTGGTACAGATTATGTGGATATTGTCACAGATTTCCTTCATGTTTACCAACAAAAATCCCCCTCGAGAACTGACTAATTAGGATTTTTTTGTTCAGTATTTTGTTAAGAACATAAGTGGTTTTTTAGGAGATTGGTTCTGAAGATGCTCATGTTGAATTCTGATTATGGTTACCTATCAGAAGAAACTGCAGAATCTTTTAAATGGATTCAGGGAATTTGTAGTATTTTGTTGCATCCATGTTCATGAATCCTAGCCTACATATGTGATCAGTGACAAAGGTTTTGGGACATTGAGTTCCTAAATAGTCTGACTGAATTCATTTGGGTTATTTATAAATCAAAGCCTTTTTCTGTAATTTCTGTAAGTATTGGAGTATTATATAGGCACATTTATTGCTATGAGTAAAACATAAGCCCACAGCACTAGGAAGGCAGTGTATTAAAGCAGAACATCTCTCTCTCTTTTAGACCTTTGAGGATGAAGAACAGTGTTTGCCTGATTCTGATCCTTCTAATTGTTTCGCGTGCTGTTCAACAGTAGCTTCAGAAATAGAAGGGTAGGTTTTTCTCTACATGAATATTTTTGGAAATATATAATAACAGTCTTTACTAAAAAAGATACATTTTTAAAATGATCTGTTTGGAGAAATGAAAAACATCTCAGCTTGGAATTTGAATTTTGGATAATGTTATATATTAGTGCATATATATGTGTATACATATATGTCAGATTTAGAACTTCTTTGTTTTTATATTGAATTAAAATTCATGGAAGGGGAAAAGGGAAAATTTTGTACTTGGTAGAGGCCTAAAAATGAAGGATACTGACAAATGGATTATATGTAATATTGTGGTACCATGCAGCCAGTCTTTGCCTGAGCTCAGTCTGTTTCAAGGCAATTGCAGAAGTGTATAATCAATGGATATTAAGGTGTTACAATCACAAAATAAACAGAGTTAGGCGAAGTAGATTATGATAGCAAAAGAGAATAAATGGAAGGCTTACCTGTATGCTAGGCTCATCTACAAAAAACACCAGAAGAGGGGATCTCCAGATGAAATCCTTCCTCACTGGTAGCCAGCTCTTAAATAGGTCTAGGAGGGGTGCAGCCAGGCTCCACCCCTTCCGGCAGCACAGGTGAAGGCAATTCACCTGTGCTCCTCTGGCTGACTCATGGCTCGCCTCAGGTGATCAATCAGAGGTTCAGGCCGTGACTCATCAGTTCCCATACACAGAAGGCAGCTAACTAGCAATAGATTACAAAGAAAACTGGGGGATGAATCACCAAAAGATGCAGGCTTTGAAGGACATATGCTTAAGAGGTCTTGAAGTTACAGTAAAAGCTCCCCTTTAGTGTAGAAAGTGGAGGTATTTTGCTTGTAGGGTCCAGAAATACATATTTTGGAAGAAGCTAATTGTAGAAATAAATAGTATCTTGGATGCTATTGTGGGATTCCAGAGAATGTTCCAGAGAAAGGAAGAAGGTGAGACAGTCTCTATGTGTACTTCTCATGCAGTTAAAGTAATGATTTTTGAATTTTAAAATGCAAACACATCAGTCTACCCCTTCTCATCTCCATGAGGAACGCTGTGCCAGAGCGAAGCTGCTGCTAAAAGCGTGTGTTCAACCAGGGATTTAAAATATTAAACAGAAGTTGCCATTTGTGTGGAGGGAGAGTGCACTGCTGTTTGAGTGTGCCAGCAGATCAATTAAAAAAAAACAGGTAATGAAGCATGAGAGCACATGTTTTAATACAGTAAGTCCAAACAGGAATGTTGGTGGTTGTCAGGGTAGGAAAGCCTGCCAGAGATAGATTGCCTTATATTCCCAAGCCTTAAGAAAAAGAAAAGTCTGATTATCATCAAACTCTTGCAAAAGTTCCATAGAGATCCTGCATAAAACCAGTAGTTTTTAGGCAATAATAATAATTCATATTTTGCTCCTTTCATCCACGGAGTTCGCCGATATTTGGCTTACTTTATTTATATAGGAGGAAGAAGTCTATAATGCTAGTCAGGAATATTGTAATGGCATATATTTGTTTATTAGGTAAGTGTACAAAGTCCTCATTCTGTAACCATAGCAGTAGGTTTCTTTTTGGTATTTGAACCCCTCTGGTAACTCCTGTATAATATAAAGCATCGTATGGTTGCACTCAACGCTGTTTTATCTGTTTATTTAAATAGAAAGCCACTAAGTTCCGTACTTGGATTATTTCCATCAATTCCAGAGCAAACTTCCCTGCATGCTTTCTCTTTTGATCCATGTTAATGTTGCTTGAGAATGTCTTTGCATTTCCCAGACATTACTGCAAAAGAGAGCACCCTGTTGCTTTTTCTGCTTTCTTTTGCTGAAGGGAATGCACTCGGTATATTTACAAAACAAACACTAAACATGACTGACATGAAGCCAAAGAGCCATGGCAGCAATGTCTCTTGTCCTGAAAGAACTGTACATCACACTTCTTTCTGCTCTTACACATCAGTCACACTAGTTGAAGTTACATGTGTCTGCACCTGAAAATTGCAAATTTAGTTTTGAACTCGCATGAGAATTTTTTTCATTGAATTTGAATATAATTGCTAATTTCTTAATATTTTATTCAAATGCTGATGAAAACACATTTCTGTGTTACGTTTTTCTGCTTAAATTGTTGAAAGAATGATTGACCACATTTGTGAAAGCAGTTGATGTTTTTGCAGTGACTTTGTGGGAGTTAGCATTTCATCCAGGATGTTTAGTGAAGTTTGATGTAATGCAATCCTAATGTATGGCTGACATCAGATATCTAACAGTTTCCCCACCTCTCCCACTCAAGTTGCAGCCCATGAATTTTCCCCGTTCCAGCCGCAGCACAAGTGCAGGACGCATAGAGGTCCTGTTTCCAACATGACCAGTGCTCTGTTCCCTGTCATGTCACTGCAAAGAGGGACAGGAAAGGGAAATTGTTCTCCCAATCCACTGCACAATGCTCAGTCTCCATAGCTCTGATACAGCAGGCATCCTTCCTTCCAATCTTTTTAATCTGGTAACTTTAAATTAGGTGAACTATAGCAGAAGACATGCTTTCTTTAAGCAGTGCATATTTTTGGTAAGAGGGAAACCACGTTATAAAAAAGCCTGTGAATGATGCTCAGAGTATATTTTTAAATGAGAACCACCAGCAAATATAGATATCTGTCTTTAAACGTTTATGCAATGGAACAGCCAATGCCATGATGCTGAACACATTGTATTATAACGTTGTAGACAATGTACACACCTGAAACAAGCAGATTGATTTAAATTGTATAATGTATGTACAACTTGTATGTATATATATATATTATATAGTTTTATTCAATAGAAAGTTTCTTAATAATATTGTATTTTTTATTGTTTTTGTAGTGCAGATCAACTCTTCTTAAATGAGCACCAGGTGAATTTAATTTTGAATGCATTCTTTGACCTCATATTTGTATCTAGATCTTTAACTGCTTTCATTTCTTATGAAATACAATTTTGACACAAACTCATGCTTACTACTGGCAGACTGGCCAACCTACTGTACTCATTTCTTTGAACTTGTGTGTTTACTTGAGATTTTTAAAATGTGTCCCTTTCAGTGAATATGATGAAACGTGCCATTGGTATGGTAATTTAATATCTGGTTTATAAAATGCCTTATTTCATAACATCTGCAAATTTAATATAAGGAGATTACAAGATAAATTATTTCCTACCTCTCCCCCCTTTTTGTTTTGTTTGGGATCATTTGAGGAAATACGGAAACTTTTCTTATGAACATGTCCATGCTAACAAAGTGAATTGAGATAACTGTTCTATAAATGGTTTGCAGCCTGCTAGAAATGGTGGAAGCTCACAAGTGTGGAAGCAAGCTTATATTCTGTTCAAGTTCTATTCACCCACCTCTGAGAAAGCAGCTGTAGGATTCCTCAGTTTGCGCTGTTCTAAGGACAGATTGTACAACTTGGCATTTTGATCTGAGTAGATGAACAGCAAACTGCAGCGCATGAACTGTGTGCTGCAAACTTACAGCATGTCTGCTGTTTCATAGCTGCCTCTGTGCACATCCTTACACTGCTCTACTTTGTGGTAAATGGGAGGAGAGAGCCTCACGGAATGATGGTTGTCTTTGCATGTACCTGGGAATTCCAGGTGCTTGCCTTCTGCCTGACTGAAAGAGCAGTGCGTCACCTCCGTGTCGGTCATGGAAGCATCATTTTAGTAGCAGTTTTGCAATGTTTCTTTGACAAGAAGGAAATTCTGTTTTGTTTTAATAGTGAGTAACCTCTCTTCCACTGCTACAGCAGAACAGGCTGTATATAACTGTGCCACCCATGAGAAAGGCTTCTGAGGGAAACATGAAGGCCACAGGGGAGAAAAAAAATCCTCTGCATGAATTTTACTCTTCCCCCTTTATTTCTGAGAAAATGTGTGCTGTTTCCCTCAGTAGCTGTTGCCCATTGACATCAATAAGAAACAAGATGTACAAGATTGGTCTGCAGAACCAGCGTTGCTTAAGATGATGTTGTTGCTGTGTTGTTTTATGTGCTGTCAGAAGAAGAAATGTTGTCACATTGATAGATTTTTAATATATATTTCAAAACATATTAACTCTTGTCTCTCTTATACTTACGAGTTAATTTTGTGGATTTACGATCCCGAAAGTGCAGATGCCTCTGAGTTGAATCACACTGCAGTTTTTCCATCAGAAGTAAGTTGAAATTATGCCACTTAAGAAAAAAGTGAAAATGTATGTCTTGTGAAAATTTACCAGCTGAAAGTGGAAATGTCTTGCTGAAATATTGTGTCTGCATACATCTTTACTTCCTTTTACTGTTAGGAAAAGTACATTTGCAAGATTTTCTCTTCAGTTAATACTGCAGCAGTGACACAGGTGTGGAATGAGGTGAAACCTATTGTCTGTTTCATAGATAGAAGAGTTAGCAGGTTTTAGTGATACAGTCACATTTAAGTCTTTTTGAAAATGGTACTGAAGTCATTGTAAGTGGTAATATCATGTAACATTTAAGTCTCTTCTTCAGATTCCCTGTATCCCAAACTGTTGGAAAATAAGTTAAAAGCATTATGGAAGTCATGAAATGTGATAAATGGTGTTGTCAACTCACTAGTTTAATTCACACCTAAAATGTAACAAGATATTGTATGGGCTGATCTGTATAGATAGATCTCCAGACTGGATTAGGTATTTACTAACGAGGTTATCCAACATGGATTAGTTATAGAGATGAATATTTACAGTAATTTTTGTTAGGACTGGCTTTCTGATCAAAACAAATGGCAGAAAGTATTCAGTTTTGGTGTGGTATCTGATACAGAGTAAGCATGCATGGCACCACAAGTTGTTTATTTATTTTAAGTTGTCATCATTAGATCTTGATTTTTTCACATTTGTTTCATATTTGTTTCATATTTGACATTACTCTCACAGAATAAAAGAGGAAAAAAAATAGCAATACTAATTGCATTCTGAAGGCATCTTTGTTATTAGATAAGTAGATGTTAAGAAAGTTTTTTGTTCTCTGATGTGGCAAAAAACCCCCACAAATAACAGAATTATATTCTGAGTGTAATATATGCTAAAATGGATTGACTAAATATGGTTTTTGTAGTATGCCATTGTTTGAAAATATATTTTATAATAGAAGAGCTGATTCCAACGTAAGGATTTCTAGAAAGAAAAGATTGTTGTAAACAACCTTATCCTAATTGGACAAAAACAGATGATTAATAAAAATGTTTGTTCTACTTACACAGAGTTCTCAGATACTCAGCAAGATGTTACAGATTTGGGGACAGAAACCTGTTGTTCAGACCTATTTCAAGCAAAAAACATACCACTCTGAGAGGCTTCCAAAATTGGGGTATGGTAATGTATTTATGGTGCTTTTTGTTTTTTAATAGAATGTTCTATAAAATTGTTCCATTTATGGCTCTGTAGACAGTTGTTAATGAGTAAGTGTAGAGAGGGCGATGAATAAAATAATTTGGTCATTTTTCTTCATATTTTTTGTACCTACATTGTAGAAAGTGTTCTTGGAAGTATATCAGTGTGTCCGTTGTTTCAGCCATAAGTAGTCAACAGACATGTCATCAAAAATGAAGTATGAGGGACACAGTGCCCAAAGAACTTCAGAATTTCTTTGTAACAGTTTTGCTACACAGAAAAAGAAGGATAATTGAAGGAAAAAAGCAAATGCATGCAAGCTAGAAATTATCAGTCCTGAACTAGTGGTATCAGTCTTGTGAATTTGAGTACTTTAGGGAATAGCTTGTTCTCTGCAAGAAGATGTAATTCTTGTTTTCATGGTCACTTTTGTGGATTGATAACAAGTTTTAAACAACTTCCAGATTTGGAGAAACTTTTAGGTACCTGGCTTTAAAAACCCAGGGAGTCCAATAACAGCTTTCAGAGCAACGAGATGTGACTCCTCAAAATACAAAATATGGCTGTGGCCATGTCTGGACCTCTTCTTTGTGCAGTGGGATAACTTTGTGCTTCAGTAATAATTTTGCTCTTTTTGCTTTTCTTTGAAGACAGCTTGTCATCAGCAGGTTTATCTGCCCTTTGTTTCATTCGCCATAATACTTAAATTTACATAATCATGCAGTTCAGTGCCAAAAAACTCTCTGCATATAATTGTTCTACTTTGTATGTACAGAAGCCCAAGGAGTAGAAAGCATGACTAGACTCCAAAATCACCTAAAGTTTTTACTGTAACAAATGGTCGCTGAGTCTTAATTATCAAGCTGTAGATACCAGCTTGAAGCTCAATGTCCCCCCATTCAGTCACGCCATTCGTGGAACTTTAGAACCTATGTGAGCTATTGTGTCAAGCATTTCTTTTTCATTTGGAAAAAAAAAAATACTGGCCAGCTGTTATTCACCCTCCTCTAGGCTTCTAAGTTTGGGATTTGCACATTTTTACCTCACGTGACACAAAAAGAAGGTAGCTCAGGTAGAATGTCATTCAGGGTCAACTAAACTGCTTCCAGTATCTCTTCTGGCTTGTTGGCCTAATTTTGCTCTCATAGAGTTATTTTTCTTGATAGTAGCTGGTGGGGTGTTGTGTTTTGGATTTAGGATGCAAACAGTCTTGATAGAGCCGATGTTTTAGTTGTTACTGAGCAGTGCTTGTGCTGAGTCAAGGACTTTTCAGCTCCTCATAATTTTCATACTTCTCATACTGCTCTGCCAGCAAGGATGCTGGGGGGCACAAGAAGCTGGGAAAGGTCAGAACCAGGACTGCTGACCCAAACTGGCCAAAGAGACTTTCCATACCATATAGCACCATGCTGAATCATGAAAGTGAGGAGAGTTCACTGGGAGGGGCGGCTGCTCAAGGACTGGCTGGGCATCAGTTGGCTGGTGGTGAGCGATTGCACTTTGCATCACTTGTTTTTTTATTCTTTATTTATTCTTTTCTTCTTGTTGTTGTTTTTTCCCCTCTTCCTTATCAAATTGTCCTTATCTCAACCCATGAGCTGACGAGTTGAACACCTCTCACATGAGCGGGAGTTTCTGCTGTGGGACAAAGAGTGAGCAAATGGTTGAGTTGTGCTTAGCTGCCTACCAGGTTAAACCACAGCACTTCTTCAGGTTTGAGTCCTGGTATTTGTGCAAAACATCTTTGACATCTTTTATCTTTCTTTCACCTGTTTGCTTAAGATTTTGTCATTTTCTGTGAGTCTTCCAGCAAAAACCAATGCTTAAATATACTCTTCATGATCGGTAGTAGGGCAGTAGTTCTAAATATTTGTGATAAAATAATAACCAAAGTATTTATACTCCTTTTAAAGCTTGTTTACTTTACAGTGTGTTTGCATGTGCAAACACATCCTATATTTCCTAGGAAATAGGATAGCAAGAAAGTGCCTGGAGGTGAGGGAAATCTGAAGGGGACACAGGTGCTTCTTTATACTACAGCATCCACCAGCAGGTGACATTTGTTGGAGTTTCTTACAAAGGCTATATAGGATTCCAAAGGATTATTATGTATCTTTCACTACACAGGCAACTATGTCAGTTTAATTGGAAATAAAGAAATTACGGTAAGACTTTGAGTATGGACATTGACAAAAAGGCAATTGATGTATCTGATAATTTACATTTGAAAAGTTTCCTGAGGCAATGCCATCTGCTTCTATTCCTGTCTTTTCTGTGCTGGAGCCCTTGATGAAAGACGTCTGCACAGGTTGGGTTTTTTTTTTTTTCCAGTAGTTTACAAGAATAAATCTAATATGAGGCCTCTCCTACTGTCAGTTGCTCTACTTTTAGCACTATTTACTGCATTTTAGGACAAATACTTTTTTCTTTCCACAAGTGTGTACTATTCACCATACGTTCCAACGTGCTGCGAAAAAAAAACAAAACAGCAGTGAGAAAAAAAGTCACAGTTTATCTGATTGTGAGTTCATAAGAAAATAGATCAAGCCAGTAAATGACAGTCATGTGAAAGTATAAGGACTAATATTTCGCAAAGGTATTTGTCACCTATTTTATTATCTGTAAAATTTTAACCTACATAGACCTCCAGTGAAGCTAATCCAAATATATCAGCTAAATTTTTGCACAAGATAATGAAAATTACTCTGGGTTTACATTTTACAGAGGATTCTCAACTGCAGACATTTCCTGTGACTGTATTTGCCATCTGTCTTTTATTTACTCCTGTTTTACTCTCTGAACACCTTATAACATGCTCGCTACTATTTTGTGACTGTACTTTCTATTTATTGAAGAATTGACTCTCAGCATATAACGAATACTGGGTATGATACTGCAAGAAGTGAGTATGGTTTTAACAGGGGTGTTTTAAATACTTGTTAGGTAGGTTTGGTTTGCTCTCAGGCATCTTCATCAGTTGTATCTAACTGTGTAATCGCTAGATGGCAACATAGCAACACTCCGTGTCAAAAGCTGCTGTAATCAGAGATGGGCTTTTTTCTGTAACATTTTTCACAGCAGAACTAAACTAATCCTCCCCTGCCCCACCTCGTGAAGTGGGAACACAACATTCTGGCCATTTCTGTAGACTGTTTCTTATTTATATGAGTTCTGGTATTCTTTTTTGTCTTTTTGACTATTCCTTTTTGAAAGAACTGAAGTGCAGAATAATCAAGGAAGAGAAAATAAAATTGCTTTGTAATTTATTTTAACAGTGAGTCTATTGATTCACCGAAATCTTCTCATACACACTTGGATATTTTGCAGCAACTTTTTTTATTGAAGCCAGCAGCATTCTTATCAACAAGAACAGAATTTGGATCATTTTGTTCTTTTCCAATATTTAATTTACTGCCATAAGTCCGAAAGTTGATGCATCTGTTAGCAGAAAAACACGTCTGAGGTGTAACAACAAGTGTCCCATAATCCAGCATCATTGTTGAGACCACAGGGCCAGCAGACTAATTCAAATTCTAGTCAGACTGGTCAAGATGGTTACCGCTGTCTGAAATTTCAGACTAAGAGAGAAGAAGAAGCAAAACCAATCTCAACTGATCTGCCAGCTTCTCTTACTTTTGGGGCCTTGCACAGACTCGCAGTTTCATTAAATTTTTGCTAAAAATTTGCTGTCTCCTCTGAAGGTCAGCAGCATCTTAGGAAATCCAGACAGTCTGCAAGTATAGGAAAAGTGTCCTCTATCACATTTTCTTCAGAAGCCAAAGTTACAAAGCTTATATTCCTCCTAGATCTCCTTTATACTGAACTGATTTTTTGTTTCTGTTCTAAGTTTGTATCAGCCCTGCTGTATCCTGAACTACTTGGGCCTTAATTTTGAAGAAGTCACCTTCTTCAGGGATGTTGACTCTTGCATCCATCAGATCTGTTATTACGCTGTGTACTGCAGAAACTGGACATATTGTTATAGACTATTTCTGTTACGCATGGTTTTCTCTTATTGCTTATCAACACAATCCTTGCTGGATCATCAGTGGCTCCAGTCATCAACTGCAGTGTGGTTTCACATTAGCTCCTGTTAGTCTGTTTTCTTCTGTGTATTGCAGGTGGCTCAATGGGGGCTATGGGAAAGGTGGGGGAGAAGAAATACTTCGAATGCATTCAAGATATTGGTGTTCATCTGTTTATCCAGTGCAGGTGAGTTATTCACAGTTCTCATTTGGCATTTAAGATATGGATGATCTTCATTAAATGTCTGGATACATCTATTTTAGATCTCTTTTAAATCGTTCTTAGGCTAGGGTGAGAATTAGAAATTACCAGACAGCAACAAATTTATTTAAAGACATTCTGAAATAGGGTCCACACTCCGTGGCTCTGTGTGACGTTATGCAGCCATTTGACATTGTTTCTAGACTCACGGCTTAAATTTGTAAATTGACTTCAATGCAGCTTTGGCAGTTACATTAGTTGAAAATGTTTCCCAGAACATCTTGATTTCTTAGCGTACGTCCCTGATATGAACCTTATGAGAAGATAGTGTTTACATAATCATTGTGTTCATTTTTTTTTAACAGAGTGGAAAACAATTAAGTACTTGGGCAGCAGGGATGTCTACTGAGCTGTATGTTGGATACAATGAAGCATTTAATAAAATAGCAGATACTGCAAGCTTAGTGAAGATCGTCAGTTTTCCAAACACTGCTTCTTTAACTGTAACAACTGTTAGCTGTGACTCAGTCCCATGCGAAGTGACAATGTCACTTATTTGCAATGCCTGCAGCTCCTCCAGACTATTTTTTCTGGCATTTTATAATGAAGGCAGACAACTTTGGGGCTTAGGAGATTTTTGCTTACCTGTTCCTCACAGTTCTGCTATGAGGATGATATACATAAATTCAGCATTATCTTCTGGACTGCTGTGGGATGATGTGTTTGCTACACCTGTAAAAACAGCATGGATAATGGATATCTTCATGTGTCTGGATCAACACAACCAGAAATGTCTGATGGGAGCACTATCCACCAGATTATTCTCGGTTAAGTATATTTTATTTTAAGTAGTTATTAACTTTCTTTTTTTAGTAAGTGGTAAATAAATGTAAAGTAAGAGACCATTGAAGCAATCTTGTAAATGACAATACAAGAATATCTATTCAATTCATTGGTCTGTTAATACTGAAATATTAATTTTTGATGGAAAGACGCACCAAGAAAGTATTTAGCAAACTGTTACTTGGATACAATTAACTTGCACTCCTATCAGCATGATTCTAACCTGCACCCCTCTACTCAGTGTGTTTCTAACAAGAAAACTGAGGCTTTCATCCTTAGTATTTGTAACAGGAAGATAATTTTATTTGGTTTTACCAATTGCATTTGACTAACAATGTGAGAACTAATTTTTCCCAAGAGAAAAATAGGCATGGCAATAATATGTTTTTCAGTACATCAAAGAATTTCTGATGTTTTAAGGCATTCATTTTCAGATTATAATCACAGCATCATTGAGAAGGAAATGCTTAAGCAGTAGAAACAGACATGTGGCCTGGGAAGAATACAAGGATGCTGTCCAGATGTGCAAAGGTGGGATCAGGAAAGCCAAGGCACAGCTGGAACTGAACGTGGCAAGGGATGTAAAAAATAACAAGAAGGAATTCTATAGAAACATTGGTTAGAAGAGACAGGCAAAGGAGAGTGTATCCCCATTAGTTAATGAGAAGAGAGGTAACAACCGACATGGAGAAAGCTGAGATACTCAACGAGTTTTTTGCCTCAGTCTTCACTGGCAGTCAGGCTTCCCACGTCTCTCGCAACTCTGAACTGCTAGACAGGAGCTGGGGGAGTAAAATCCCTCCAACTGAAGGTACCACACAAAGTCATACTGATGGTTCCGTGAGAGGAGGTCAAGTGTTTTTACTGAAGCAGCTTTCATAGTGATTACTTCTAAAGAGAGAGCCTGCATTTGTAAGCATGCTTATGCTGACTTTGGTGGCTGCAAGGCTGCTTCTCCCACATTTCCTCACCCCTCTCTCACAGCTGCTGTGGCACAGTATCTTTTGTTTTCTTAGATCTGCCCTCCCAGAATCGCCACCAGCAGTGCACAGTGGCTCACCTCTGGCCATCGGTGGGTCCTTTTAGGCACCACTGGAACTGTCTTTTATCAAACGCGGGGCAGCTTCTGGGTTCTTCTCACATAGGCTATCCTTGCAGCCTCCTGCTATCAAAACCCCGCCACATATGCCTGTTACATCCATACATCTCAAAAGTGTCTCTCTCCTGCTTAAGTAACCTGCTAGTTTGGATGTGTATACCGTAGTCACAGTCTGTTGTGAAGTAACTGCTGTTTCTCAAGAATTTAAGTCCTTCCCTCACCCTGTACAAGCTCACTGTCTCCCAACTGGCTACCTCAGAAATAAAGCTGTAACTGAGGCTCAACCTCTAGTATGAAAACACCGACCTATGCACTATTGTTCTGGCTAAACTCAGGAAAGGTCATTAACTGAAGAGCTGTGAAATGGCAAAAGTAATTGCTGTAGAGGAGGAAGATCTGATGAGAGAAGGCTGGAGGCAGAATCAGCTGCCATTGCTTGTTGTTCACAACACACACCTCATGCTTCCCCTAAACACAGCTCTGTGGTCATCACTGAGGAGAGAGAGTGAATGGTCTGTTTCCAGCGCTGTCTCAGTGCCATGATGTATAACCTCGCAACCTCCCTTGAAATGGATTTGGATTCATTTCCCATGATGTCATAGACATCCCTTCTTTCCTCTAATCTATGTGAGAATGGCTGGCCATAAAGTGCAGACTGGGTTTGAAAATGTTGAAGGAAATTTTTTGCAGTATTCTTAGGTGGCCCTTGCTTCCCTGTGCTGTGCCTATGAAGAAGGAACAGTTGAGGATTTAGGCAGCTTTGTAATTCTACTGTCCGTTGACCATGGCTCCTTGCTCTTCCTTTCTTTCGTTTGTCTTCCTATCCTTGTCTTACAGCTCTCCCTGTACCTGTTCTCATAGAATTCTCATCCATACTTGCTGGATTTCTTTCCCATGAAAGGTTGAGAGTGAAGAGGTAACCATAGTGGCTGAGTGCTGGAGTGTGTGAACTAATGACTGATTAGAAAAAAAAAAACTTTTTTTTTTTTAGAGCTGACTACAGTGGAATAGGATTGGCATTCAAGTAGAGGTGACCACATAGCTACTATGCATACGGTCAGGACCTCTTGAAGACAGCAAATCATAAGTGTCTGTGTGCAGAATCAAGGAGAAGGCAGGAAATGGGAATGAGGATGCTGAGTTGTGCAGTCCTTGAAAACACACTGCAGGCATGACAGTGCCTCAGATGTTTCAGGGAGGAACTGCATTGCTTAGGCTGAGAATAGACTTGTGGGTACCTTTTACAGAAGAACATGAAGAATGCAGAGGTTCAAGGCTTATTTTTTTGTGCCAGGGAATTTTTCTTAATTACGTGATGGCTCCTGGTTTGTGCATGTCGCCCATAGTTTGGATACCTATTTTAGAGTAGGTGATTCCCAGATACACTGTTTGGGCAAGTCAGAACCACACAGAGAGGGAAAAGATTGTCTGTCACCTGTCGTTGGCACTGTGGAAAAGCCATAAAAACAAATTACAGAAGTAGAACTGGACATTTTTTCAGATTCTCCAGCTATCATGAAGATATCCTTTGTCTCTCTAAAAGCACTGCTGTGGTCAAAAGATTTTTACTAATTATTTTTCTTTATTCTTTTATAGGAATTTACATTTTCTCATCAAACTGACAATATTTTAGAATCCAATTATACACAGGCGTTGTGAGTATCAGAAAATGTATATAGTAGATGTAAATTTGATAGTGTAGTTTTGATAAGTAGGAGTTAAAAGCACATCAGAACTTCACTAGCTAATGTGACCATTATTATATAAATAATAATGTTAATATTGCTAATGGGCAGATACTGATGCTTGCTTATATACCTCAGGGAGGGGTATATGCAGCCTACTTGGAAAAACTGTGTCCACCTAATACATAGATTCATTTTTTTTTTTTAATGCTGATACTGGTAGGGTTTTCAGCATTTATATATTCGTGGGTGAAGGTTCAGCTGCTAAACAAACTTATATCCCTAGGTTATATTCACATAAGAGGATCTTGGGTTGGAAACCAATCCTAACTTTCTTATGCTCATTTTTGTTGTGGATTTGCATACAGGTTTATTCCAATCTCTCCATTTCTAATAGTGTTGACACTCAAGTTACTGAAGTGATAGTTCTGACTATTAACCACCTTTTTTTAGAAATGGAAATGTCCCTATGACAAGCAAGATGCTGATGTCTTTTTAATGTGAATGAGTTGATGACAAATTGGTAGCCTTTAGCAGGAGGCTAAAGAAATTTCTCTCATTTGGTAGGCCTTTTTATTAATATTGTAGAGACTTTCCAGACTCTAAACCTTACATAATGCATGCAAATCAAGAGCCATTCTTCCTACAAAGATATGCAGGAGATCAGTAAGTGTACCACATGACTGAACTAAGCCATTGTCTGAGGGAGATGACTTCAGCTGCTGTTAGAGTCAGCACCTCAGTGCGTAACTTTAGTACAGTGCTCTGGCAAAGACTCTGTAAGGATTTGGTGTACGTATAACATAGGGAATATGAATAAGAACTAAAATATCAAGCTGCACTGATGTATAGTATTGATAAAGCTGAGGCTTAGATAGTTGTGTCCTCTTCTGATATTCACCATTCAAAAGGAGTATAAAAATACTGGGAAGGATTTACAATCAAATCATTTGGTGAGTGAAGAGGTTTTACAATCTGAGGCCTAAGAAATCAGTTTGTTTTTTGTATTTTAATAAAAGAGGCTGTTGCACTCAACATTTTCATAATTCTTACAACTTTGCACAAGAAAATGAATATAATTTAAGATAATGCTTATGTGTTCCACTGGATGTGCTGTAGGAATTAGAAAGGTATGGTTTTCCCCAACACTTAATGGCCAAATTACCGTAAGGGAAGGTGTGTTTCTTTTCGCTCTCCTTTGAAACACTGGAGTTTGAGCTCAGATTAACAGGATATCCAATATGATAAACAGTGCACTTCTTTGCTCCAGTTTTACCCCCGATTTCTAGGACCTAGGATTCCTGAAGTCCAGTCTTGCTGGTAAAGACTAAGCTGAAGAAGGCATTCAGTTCCTCTGCCTTTTCACTGACCTGTGTACCCAGCTCCCACAGTTCATTCAGTGAGCACACATTTTCGCTGCTACCAACTGTGACCCACAAGAATCTCACTGCCACTCAGTGAAGCAACCTAAAATCTATCAGTAGCTCTACCACTGGCAGGCCCCTACATCTTACATCTCCATCTGGGAGAAAGACTGTAAGAGATTTGATGCCTCTACGTCCTTCTAACTCAGAGTATAAATCAAGCCTACTTCAGAGGTAGAAATTATTTGCGGTTTTTGAGACAGTTCTGCTTGTGTTTTGTGCATGCGTCACTATGCAGTCAAATCTGGTTTCTTTCAGGCAAGTGACTTCCCTACTGTCTATGTGATACAAGTCTGTCTTTAAGCCCTTCGTTTGGAGATGTCTGATTACTTCAGAATTTGTTCTCCCCGCTCTCTCCCAACAGCATGCTGTTCAGTTTTTCTTTCAGTATCAACTGCTGCCTTCAGTGATGATTTACAAACTTTTACAATTTGTGTAGATGTGCCATTCCGCCTTTTTTTTTTTTTTTCCTCCATCCCAATCAGTCAAAATGGATTTCTTCTTGGCAAGTTATAAATATTGTGCAGTTGATTTCAGTCAAAGACTCAAGGACAAATGTCTTAACATTAATATCTTGAAGTATAGAGCTATAAAGAGCACTATATGCATCTGATGATATCATTGTGATGCTCTGCATCAAAGCACAAAGTAGCCTGATTATTCCTTTGTCAAAAATAGTTATGCTTTCAAACTTTTGAATCAAGCTGCCAATTCAACTCTTAATGCTCTCCTTCAAGGAGTGCTAAAAATACTCATGAACAAGCCTTGCCATTTCAGAATATCAGATCATAGATGGGAAATACCATTGGGTGTCTTCAGTACACTTTTCAAGGTCTGATGATTTTCTGAAATTGATTTATTTATGGAAAACTACACCAGAATTTGGTAAGTACTGCATATCAGGGCTGCCTCGGTCAGCAGTCTCTGACAGACTTCAGATTCAGTGCCACAGCAGGTTGTCTCATGCCTTTAATTTTGGCTTCAATAGAAGCCAGAGTTCACAAAATGTGAAATAGGATAGAATGTAACTCTGCTCATCTCCATCTGCCTAATTCCAGATTGTACTCACCCTGGTAGTGGGTTCAGTGATAAGCAATTTTAAATCTCCCATTACATTGATCAGTCTCCCACCCAAACTTCGCTTTTCTGCTTTTCACAGTGTCATTTATCTGCAAACTCAAATAAAAATGAAAACAAAATATTCCATCCTTGGGTAGCTACTGTGTTATTCAAAAGTAACCCGGCGGTCTAATAATGTCAAACTTGATTCTCTGGAATCAGTAAGCATCTAAAATTACTAACTACTAGAGCTGACTCAGTTTCAAACATCCACCTGTAACCCCATAATGCCTGAATTACTACAGTGAGAGTAAAAGAGACATTGAATTGTAGGTGATGTGATAATAAAGTAACAGTAAGTAATAATAATTAGTGCTTCTTGCCTCCAAATGAAATTACCTTGCTATTACTGTAATTAAGTTACTTTGGTGTTAACGACTGATTTCAAAATAAATTATAACATGAACTCTTGTTTGGGTGGGGGGATTCTTTTGTAGAGAACTGACCAGTGGTGTTATGTCAGCTGAACTGAAGCCTCGTGCTGTTGAAAATGCATGTGAATTACAGCATCAGGTAGGCACTGTAGCTTGAAAAAAATACAGTAACAATGCCTCCCACCAATTCCTGACCTACTGTCAAGAGGATTTCACAGTATAGCATCCCCTTTAATTAACGTGATGTAAAATAACAAAGACTTTTCAAGAATAGATATAAAAGGAGGAAAGTTCACAGAATAGTCTTGATGCCAAAGTGTCCGAGATGAGTAAGGTGTGATAAGTTGTGGACTAGAAGGGAGCCACACTACTGGATTATCATGCTGATTTGTGCAATAGTTCTTGTAGTCATTATTCCCACTAGTAGTGAGCAGCCTCCCTCAAGTCTGTGATGAAGCTCATTTCTGGAAAGTTTCCTGGGTAAATTAAAATGTGTTGGTTTGTGATTTGTTTTTGTTTTTTACCAGGTCTCTCACTTTTTTGTTGGCTGCCCTCCAGGAAGGCACATTGCTGTTAAGATGTAAGTTTTAATCACTTGTTGTAATTCTAAGATGCCCTAGGACACCTTAGCATTTTGCACAGTGTAGACAGGATCACCGATTACCTACCTTACCCTTTGCAGCCACAGCAGCTCTACATGCTTACTGATCCATGCACAGTTAGAAATACAAAGGCTGTATGTGTTTCTTCTGTTCTAATTAGGATCACATTCCATGTTTTACAGATATGATGGTGATATTTGTGTTAGAAATGTTGAAGCAAATTTTGTATTATGGGAGATAAAAGGCAGAACTGACGATGGGTACACTTCATCCATGAAAAAAGTAAGCCAACTACTGAGAATGCTATTGAAGTATTTTGTGCATAATGGTCTACATGGAAAATAGGACTGTTCTTACACATGTTGAGATTTCTTTAATCTGAATGGATGGATTTAGAAGTTTAACATTTTAAATTTATACTAGATTTAACATTGTATTCAATATGAAAAATGAAGCATGTGGGAGTTATCAAAGCAATACACTGAAAGGAAAAAGAATCTGCATTTAGAATCTGATTTGGAAAATGCAGCTTAAAAAACTTGAAATTTCAGACCGTCTTCTCTCCATAGAGAAAATAAAACAATACTCACTAATTCACACTGTCTTGTCCAGAGAAATTCTGCCCAATCTCTTTATGAGTAAAGTGAGGACATTTCCTTCTTTTTCAGTAGAATGACAATCAATATTTAAGCCAAATCAAACGAAACACAGATGCTGTATATAAATCTACACAGATAATACAACCTTATAATGAATCTAGAGTAAGTAATAATTTTATTTTTGCTGATTGACTAGATTCCCAGGAACTCACAAGCGTTAGGAGTCGGAAAGAACATAAAGAGAATGTATAAACCATGACATATTGTTTTGTTTTGTAACCATCAAGCAGCCAAGCTGGATGGGAAAAGATAAAATATATATAGACATAGATTATATAACATATAATATCACAGAGCTACTGCTTTGTCCTGTCTGCATGAGATTTTCTTGTCTGGAATTCAGCCATAATTATGAATCATCTTCGTCACCCTTTCTGATCAAGGAAAATATCTTCTGAAGCATCAGATGTAAATTCGGAGGCATTTCCAAGTTCGCTCGCTTTTTACATTCCGTCTTTTCTGTGTAGTAGTAGACAAGGTCTGTATAGTAGAGGCTGAATAAGATAAACTGAGTGCAGACTGACCACAATAAGATCAGCAAATTCCCTAAGGTGATGACCTTAGGAGAAATAGTTCCTTTAAGAACTGATATTTGTGTTTGGGAAGTTATTGGCAGTTTCTTAATAGTGCTGTGAAGGGACTGAATTAGATCATTTATGTTCATAGGACATCTAATTTGTACATTTACACAACAGAATCCGTTCATCATTTTTAACCACTGCCCACAAATTAAAAAGCAAAAAAAGAAAGAATGACTAAATCAGTCTTTGTGTTGAATTGCTTTTCAGAGCTAGTTCAGCAATAACTTGTTGTTGTTGTTGTTCAGAATTACAGATCCTGTTTTGAGCTTGAGAACAGTTCAAAGGAAGGACTGAATGAGCAGTATCAGATTTTAAACAGCACTTCTCAAAACCACATGGCTCGGCCTTTTAGTCATGATGCCACTTACCTGTTCAGAGTGAGGATATTAACTCGAAACTACAGGTTATTGTCTTTTTTAATGTTCAAAAAGAAAGTGTGATGGTGTCGGATCAAAATGGAAAAAAATGCGGACGGTTTATATTTTAAAAATATTTTTGCTCAGCAATTCCTTTGGCTCAGGTGTTTCCAATGTTTCCACTCCAACCTAGCTCTAACTCAGAAATTATTCCGGCGTCATTCTTGAAATCCATGACTTTTCCATTTTCTACTAGTCTACAAAATAAACACCTGCTACATAATCTGAAAACAATGAGGAAGTTACAAGAAAAAGAACAATACTATTTGTAAATAAACATCGGTGAGCTGAGAATCTTCAGAAATATCCAAGAATCATAGAATTGTTTGAGTTAGAAGGGACCCTTCAAAGCCACCCAGTCCAACCCCCCTGCAATGAACAGGGACACCTACAGCTACATCAGGTTGCTCAGAGCCTGACCCTGCCTTTGCTTCAATGATGAAAACAGCCCAACAGCTTTTCTTATCTATTTCAGCTTTTGGGATTTAAAAACAGTCTTTGCAGTCCGTACATATGGTGTAACAGAAAGATAACAGCTAGTGGATATTTCTAATGGATTTTTATTTAATATATTAGATCCTCCTTTTGGTCTTCCTTTTTTACTTTTTTTTTTGTTTGTTTGTTTGTTTTTGTTGTTGGGTTTTTGTTGTTGTTGTTGTTTGAAATATACTTGATAGTACAAAAACAAGAAGGCAAGATACTGTGTTCTTTCTCTGTACAGATGATTCATAGATAAAGACAGAAGTTATCTGCACATTTTTAAAGATTTTGCTTCTTCAGAACCTCTGCTTGAAAGCAAGCAGGGTGTTTTTCAGCTTGTGAGGCCTCACCTGCTTTAACTCCATGTTCGTGCGAGACCCAGAAAGCCAGATGCTTCCCTTGTGACTGTTTACATTCAGTTTGTGCCACTTGCACCTATCCTGCAGAAATCCTATTTCCACGGCCCCCTGCTGACAATAAAGGATTTCCACGGATGGAAATGAAAATCAAATTTGAACATTATCCCATCTGCACTTCTCCAGCACACCAGACACTTGAGAGAATTGCTTTGGCCATGTTAACAAACTAATTTAACTATGTAAGAAGTGTTTAGAGAGAATCCTTTTATCCCAGCCTGCAGGCTGAAAGTAAACAATGGATAACACCTGCTTCACACTGCAATTCCTGTGGCGTTTTACCTTCTGTTTCTGTATAAAAGATAGCTGGAGTTGGTGAGGTTTTTAAACCAAATGAACTTTTAACTGCTCCAGTGCTTTTACTTAAAAGAAGGCTTTATTTGTGACCCTTAATCAAAGGAATCTTGCCACTTGTTGGAAGAAGCAACTCACTGTGGTACATGCCTATTGAATTTGGAATCATGACCATATGGATTACAAGAAATACCTAATGATTAACCAGATGAATACTGTCTTAAGTTACTGTACCAAGTGACTGTACTGCTATGATGAAATCTGAGCTATTCTTCACTTACTATTGACAGGAATCTAAAAAATGATTATATTTTTATTTGCATTCCAGGTCAGATGTTTCTATGGCTAAGTTTTATTCCTTCATCACACTCAGCACCTTGTTGGTCTGCGCCACCTTCTGCTACAGATACAGCCTCACTTGGAAGTCTGAAACACTGGGCAGAAGACCTAAAGGCCAGTATCTCACTGATACACTAACAAAGTAAAACTTTAAATAGGATGGTGTTTGGGACAAGTGATACACTGTTTATTAACAGATGGTTTTGCAAGTACTTCTTATGTCTCTATAATACTATTTAATGCATTCAGTTTCATATACAGAGGGCATGCCAGTCAACGTGTCAGAGCTCCTATAGGAGCAGAGCTCTGGTGTGGCTAACAGTTTTTAAAAGACATTTTCCAAGCCAAGCTAAGTTAAGCTGCAGCTGTGAGCCTCATGCTTGAGTTGGCTTCACATTATGATTTTCACTGACTCAACTATGGTGTCAGCATAATTTTTCAGTGTGAAATCTGATAAAACAATGCAGGCAAAGTTTCTGCTCTGTCAAAGGGCTGCAGCCAATCAAGTTCTGAAAGTGCTCAGCACAGTCCACAGAGGGAATATTGTGTGTTTCTGACGATGTCTTTTGATGCTACATGTTTTACTTCTGCTAACAAATGTTAATTCTATCTTAAAGTGTGTATTTGGATCATACTTCCTCTCAAGCTTATTCACTTCTTCAGTATATAAATGTTTGTTATAATATAGTTGTAAAAGTTATAGTTGGTTGCAGTAGTTACATTTGTTATATCAATAAGCAGTCATGCTTGCATCTATTTTTAACACCATCTGAAGCTGTTAAAAGTGTCAGGCTTCCAGCCTGAATTTTCTTATCATCAAATGAACATACCTTGCAAAGCTTATGCTCTTAATGGCAATTGTTTCATTTCTCCAAAACAAATTAACAAAATTCTATTGATAAATAAATGTTGAAATTCTTACAATTGCTCTCAACATTCATCATTTGCAAAAATTTTCATAAAGACTATAAAATCTGTAGAAATCTAGCTTGAATATGAGCACATTTTAAAATAGTTACTGATTCATTTTGTGTGACTCATACCATGTGTATCTCAGTACAGTTTGCACCAAGATGGAAATCAGAAAAAAAAAATAAGTGATCAGCTTAGAAGTTTCACCTCCAGTGACAGTCTGTTCCTACTGAAACCCACCTTCCTTTAGGCAGGACGGCCCCCTGGGCTGAAGCACAGGTGGAAGCCCTCCAGTTCCTTCTGCAGTATCTACACATCTGTGTTCCACTTTCCCTTCACATACATCCTATGCATACAGCTTCATAGCAACACCCATGTGAGGCACTCTGCATTTCTCTGGCCACCATAGTGTTCTCTCAGCTCTCTGCTACAGCTGAAATTTGCTGCTTCTCTACTCTTCACTGTTTCTATACCTGTGAAAACTAAGTAGACAACAGCATTTCCCACAGAGACCAGTCTTTAAACTGATCTCTCCATACAAGCTTAGTAAAACGTTATGGCGTTGTCACAGTCAGAAAGATTAGTGCAGAGGAGGCAATACAGGAGTGGAATGACAAAAGGACAAACAGGAAAGGAATGCTCATCTGTCTCCAAGGATCTAGGCTCATGGGGAAGAACTCCACAAGGAAGGGATCTCCAATCAGAGATCCTTTGCTAGTGGCAGTCAGCTCTTACATGAGGTCTAACAGAGGTGCAGCCAGGCTCCACCCCTTGTGGTCACACAGCTGAATTGCCTTCACCTGTGCTCCCAGGGCTGACCAGGTCCTTTCCCCAGGTGCTCAATCAGTGGTTCAGACCGTGACTGAATGGCTACCATGCAGCCATAAAATAAATGTAGTATAGTTTCATAGTCAGACAAAATTCAGGGTTTTGTTTTTCTTGAAGGAGGTTTTCTGTGTTCCTGTTCAGGGCCCAAGTACCTTTCAGTGTTACAAGGCAGAAGTCCCTGAGTTCACACGTTACAGTTCTGAGGTAACAGTGCCCACTACTGATCACTACCCCCTTACACTAACCTTGAATGAAGACACGTAAGGTCAGGCTGGATGGGGATCGGAGCACCCTGATCTAGATGTGGACGTCCCTGTTCACTGCAAGGGAGTTGGACTAGATGACCTTTAAGAGTCCCTTCCAACTCAAATAACTTTACGAACATAAGATGCTGAGCAGAGAAGCTGTACCTTAGAGGAGACTTACCCTGAGCACCCTGTGCTACATGCCGAGCCCGGCCCCTCAGCTGCCTAAGTAGCCTACGGCTGGCACGGAAAGATGCTGGCCTGACTCCTCCCCAGCTCTTTCTCATCACCTTCCAAACTGCAGCCACCGAAGGTCATCGGCAAGGAACGAACAGGAGCCCATGAGCTCAACAACTTCGGCTGTCACAGTTTTCAGACAAGGTTTCGACTACCGCTGTTTTAATTTTCCTCAGCACCCCCTGATACGGAAGCGGCTTCTGCCTACCAAACCTCTGGTTTGTAGCTACCAGCCCGGTCCCAGCCGCCAGCCGGAGGAGCAGACGGAGCGCACGGCCCTGAGCAGTCAGTCAGGGGCCACACTGGCCGACAGCTCGGCAGGCACCGCGAGCCGTTACCGCCAGCAATCCTCGCAGCCCGGACGGCCCCGATGGCTACACCTCGGCACAGCCCATCCCGCCGTAGCCGCTCATGGCACGGCGCGCCCCGCCTACGCGGAACCGCGGAGCGACGTGAGGCGGGCGGCGCCGGGCAGGCCGGGAGCCGCGCCGCACGCCGGGAGCTGTAGTCGCCGCCGTCCCACTCCTGGCGGAAGGTGGGGGCGGGCTCGAGCGGCTCCATTTTGCGCCCATCCGAGGGGCTCCCGGCCTGCCTGGCGCCGGCGGTACCGAGGCCGCCCGGGAGCCGCCGTTTGCGCTCTCCCCGTCTTCTCCCGCTGCCGCCGTCGGGGCGGGGCCCGCTCCCCGCCTCCCGGCCCCCGCCGCCGGCCGCGGGCTGAGCGCTCCTCCCGCGGGCCGGGCCCCGTTCCTCCGCGGGGGCGGGTCCATGGGGCCCGCCGCCCCCCCCCCGCCCCGCAGCAACAGGCGGGACGAGGAGGAAGCGGCCCCCGGGGGTGCCCACCTCCCCGCCGCCGGCCTGAGCCTCGCCGCCCCACTGGAGCAGCCAGCGGGCTCGGGGCGCCCGCGGGCCGCCGGCGATGGCGAACCAGCTGGTGATCCTCAACGTGTACGACATGGTGAGCGCCCGCGGGCAGGGGCCGGGAGGCGGGCGGGAGGGGGGCTCGGCGGGCGGCGCGGCCCCGGGCCTGCGGGACCGGGAACTTTCCCTTTCTCCTTCCCTCCCTCCGCCCCGCGCGGGGCTCTATGCGGGGGTGACGCGTCGCTTCTGCTCGGCAGCGAAAGTTTGGCGTGCGGCTGGGTCGCAGCTTGCGGGGTCCGCAGCCTGCAGAGGGGCTCCTCCCCCCCTCCCTCTCCCTGCTGTAGCCGCAGTAGGAGCAAAGCGTTAATTTGTGCGAGGAGTTCGTCCTCGTCCTTCAGAAGGTTCCTGCTCCGCGCGTGTCGCTGCGCAGGGTGCTGGCTGGGGGTAACCGCTGTCTTTGGAAAGTTGGAAGTTTCTGAGTGCTGTGTCGGTATTTTTGTATTGCTGTGGCATGGCGACGCTTGGCAGGAATAAAGGAATTGCCTCATCCCGATCTGCGATGCTGTGAGCTCACCTTGGCTTCCCGTGTGACGCCTGGCTGACACCTCCAGCAGCTGTTGGGTTGCCCTGCATGCAGCTGGAAGCTGCTCAGCTGCCATAGTAACAAATGAGGCAGAAGCACCTGTATGGTACAGCCGCGGGATAAGTAATATTAGGGAAATATTATCCCTTAATGCGCTTCAGTAGCTGGAAATTAGATCGAGTGCTACTGGTTGTCCTCTGAGCACTGTTGGGCCTGTGGTGAAGGGCAGGGAGGCTTCACAACAGCATTGGGAACTGTGTGGGACGAGCTCTCCTTGAACCACCGCCAGTTTTGAAGTGAACTTCTGGTGCTTTGGACGGGTGGAGGAGCACAGTGTAGCTCTCATTGCTGGCGGAGAAGTGCATCGTCTTGCTTGAAAGTATTGTACTCATGTGCTTGAGTATTTGCTAGCAAGTTGATAGAGGGCTGTCCTGCTTGGATTTAGTTATGCGTCTGATTGTTGCCATTGGTTTCTGTGGTAGGTATCGGACAGAAAGAAAACAGGGTCCCTGTCAAAGGATTCCCTTCCACTTCCTGTGCTTGGGTTCTGTTGCCAGTGAATGCAACCTGTTACATCTGCGTTGGGTTTCCTTTGCCGGAGCAGGGGTGGTTAATGGGAACAGGGGCCCTGCTAACCTGGCCAAGCACATACATGGGGCCTGCGAGGTGCTGTCAGTGTGTTATGGTAGACCCAAGTGGTAAGGATGTGATATAGTGGGCTTCTTTGGACTGCAACTGAAAAATGTGTGTGGGAAAAGCTCTTGTAGTTTTAAAAGAGCTGGTTTTGTGTACATTAGTTATAAGTACTATATTAAGTATAAAAAAACAGGACTTTAGTTCCAAGGCTGTTACGCAAGCAATTACCCGTGAAGTCAAAGGCATGGCATGCCTCTGATGTGGGAGGTGAGCGACCTTGACTGTGAGAGCCATCCTGGAGAGACTACAAGGAGCCACGGGCAGCAGCAGGAGGGCTGTGCTTTCCCTTGGGATGTGCCAGGGCTCAGTAGCTGTGTCTCTGTGTCAAGGAGAAGGAGAGTCTGTAGGCCCACCGCCTGTGGAAAGAGCTCATTCTCCAAAACAAGCAGGCCAGCAAAGCTACCTGTGGGTGTTTGGTCAGATCGGGGTGCTTGTTTTGTGCTTATATGCTGAAGCTGAACATCACCACAAATTATACATAGCACGAGCTGAGACCACTAACTGGGGTGTTTATTTATCCCACCTCAGCTATGGCTGTTTTATAATCGCATCTGTGTTATTTGACCGCTAAAGAAGGAGATTTCTTCTAAACAGGAAAGAAGAGCTGAGGATGCCATAGTATCTGAGGGACACCGTCAGCATGCAGCCTTGAACTCTCAGAATGGTCGCTCAGTCTGTTTTATTCTTGCTTGGAGCAGGCACTTCAGTGAAGCCTGGCTTCATGGGCAGTGTTAGTGCTACCACTCTGAGAGCCTGCTGAAAGCAGTGGCATGGAGAGGGAAGTGTGGCTGTTTTGGGGTTGTGTGTCTTCATCAGGTGCCTCCAGTTGTGTACCAAGGCACTCAGGTTTACTTTTAGCTCCTGACATTTCACAGTCGTGGTTTGGGGTGTTTGGGTATTTGGGCTTTTGTGGGGAGTGAGTTCTTTATTTGGTGGGTGTGGATATTTTTTGTCCCCTTCTTTTTTAGGGGATGTGTAGGGGGGGCACAAGAGAGCACTATTTGTCCTGTTCATGGAATCAACACTATTATAACTGCAAAGACTGTACAAACAGCTTGGTGTCAGCCTGCAGCTCCATCTCAAAAACAGCCCCTTTCATGCAGGGACTGCAGGGTATTGCTGCTGTTCAAGTCTGCACAGGACCAAGTTGGTTTGCCTTGCAGCATATACGCCTCTATTTTCCTTATCACTCGATAAGGAGAAAGCCTGGGGTAAAGCCGAAGGTGAAGAGGTAACTTTACAGAGGGAAACAAACTTACGGGCATGTTTACGTGCAGTAGCTCACGCCTTCAGAAATGCTTTCTGATCATTGAAAGGGCCGTGTGAAGACCAATAGACTGTGCTTAGAGCTGGAGTACTTTATATCTTCATTATCACAAACTGCTGTCCCTGTAGCAGTATAGGGTTTTTGTGCCCCAAGTAGCATCCTATTTTCCTATGTCAAACAAGGCGTTAACGATCTGAACTATTAGCATAAATGGGAGCTCTGAAGAATGTAATGAGGATGCTGTTGAAGCAGTGGGATTAGTGTCTCTGTCAATGCAGTGACATGACTTTATTATGCACATAGAAATGTAAGTCCGTATTATTTTTGTTTTGATGGTTGCATTAGACATGAATCCCTGTTTCACAAAACGACTTGCTGCAAAATACTGAGGATGTGGGGCTGTGCTCTTAGACGTTCTTCTACAGCAAAATTCAGATCGGACTAAACGAAGGGAGTCTGTTTTGTGCAATGGAAGAGTGAGTGTAGCTTTTGAGATCAGTTTGGGTTTCCAGATTGTAATGCATGTCACTGAAGCAGCCAGCTATGTGTATGTCATTTAATCTGTTGTGATCTTTATTTTGTAAGCTGTGTGTAATCTCTTCGGCTGTGGCCAAACTCAGTGTCCTTTAAGCTGTGATTGTTCTGCATTTCTTTCTTCACCGCAATAAGGCATTTCGTTCAGTGGGAGAACGTGCCGACCTTCCAATAACTGATTCAGATTAAGTAATAATTAGATGTAATTACTGTTCCTAGGGGGAAAGTAATTCTGCCTTACTGAAATTCTTTTGTCTTCAATTCACCTACTCTGTTCTTATGGAAATACAAAGCGAAGTGCTTTTGGCACTCCTTTCAAGCTGCTGACTTGTGTTTAATCTGCTGCCACTGCTCGGTTTCTGCGGTCAGGTAATCTGCATCCACATACTTCTGTGCTGCCAGCAGTGAGCAATGCTCACCCAAGTAACACGGGGCTTGCTGAACAGTGCAGTGCAGCAGCTCTCCATCCCATCCACCTGCCCCTGCATGGCTCCACGAGGCAGCTCGGTGCCTGCCTTTCTGCTCCCGCCTCTTGCGTCAGATTTCGCAAGGTTGGAGGAGCAGAGTTGTTTTTTCCTGCCCAGTAACAAACTAGTTTTATTACTTCCAGTGCTTATGGGATATCTCGTGTAACTTGTGTCCCCGTGTCAGGCAGCAGATCTGACGTGTGTGTGGTGGGGAATTATTTGGAACTCAGAGGCCAGACCCAGAATTTCCCGCCCAAATGGGTGTCCTGGTGAGGACCAGAGCTCTGCAGACCCTGTCCACATCTGTTTGAGGTTACGTAGAGCTGGACAACCATTCTTGTTAGGCAAGCACACTTTTTGCCTGTGCTGACAGACTTTATGTTGAATATTCCTATGGTATTGATTATAAGTATAAAAATATAAAACTATTTTGTAATGATGGACAAATGTAGAAAATGGGCTTTAGAGGTAGCTTTACATTTAAGAAGCTCTTGAATTGTTCTGGTTTTAATTTCACTTCAGTGAACAGAATCTATTTTTTACCAGTGCAGTTGGGTAGTTTTAACTTTCACATTGCCTCCTGCGTTCTGTTTCTCTACACCAAGTAGATCTAGCCCCATGTGTTTCTGGATATACTTGATCTGAGAAGGTTGGATTAGATAGAAATGGACTGGCAGCACTCGCTCTTTTCTAAGGAGAGAGAAGGAAACAATTTGTCAGACCCTAGTTTAGGTGATGGTGTAGTACAGTCATCCCTGTCCCACTCACAGATGTAGCGATGGATTAACAGAGCCAGCCATCAAGGCCACTTGTAAGGTCCAGTCTTAAGCAAAATGTATCCATGGATCTCCATGACCCTTGGCCTTAAATATGTGCAAGGAGCAAAATCCACCTGCTGTTAACTCCTGTTGACAAGAATTCCCCCAGCTGGCATGTCTGAAGAAGAGCTCATCAAATCCTTGGTGTCTCGTTATGCAGATAATTATCATGTCCCGTGCCTGCCAGCACAACTGTGATGTTTGGTGACTGCTAGCAGCTGAATTTGGGGGTGCTTAGAATGACTCTAGAAGCCAAATACATCCATTTCTGATGCTGGAAACATTGTAACATTTGGCCTGAACTGTTCTTTTTGCCTTTTGACTTTGATTTCATGAGTGGCATCTCACTCCAAAGTGTAGTGGATCATTCTTACTGGGAGAAAAATGGCTTTCAGAAATGTTCATTAAATGCCAGGTCAACTAAAATGTCTGTAATTATGTACTAACTTCAGCTAGCGCGCTTGACAACATGACACCTGTCCCCTCTTACATTTTTATTATCAGTTATGCTGTTTTTGTAGTGACTTCTGATCAGAAAGCACATATTATGTCAAAAGTTTGTGTGAATAAGATAGCTTTTTTTTCCCCTTTTCTTCCCATTTCCTCAATGAATAACTTGCTGAAGGTACTCCCCCTGTCCATGTCCCCTCTGAGCTGCCTCCTTGCAGCCTGCCCTGCGGCCCCACAGCTGTGTGCATTGGGAGTGGATGACATGGGAGGGATGGAGGATCCCACGGCTGGAGAAATTGACAGGATAAAGATTGCTGGGTTTTGGTGAGAGGTTTCACTTCCTAGTCTATTGAAGTTGTAAGGACTCACCTGAGAGTTTTTATTTTTCTTGAGCCTTTCTTGGAGATTCATCATATCACTCTCCGAGGAGCAATTTGAAAAAGAAAGTTGTGACGCAGCCAAGGAAAGAGTCATTTTGGAGGTTTTCTTTTTCCAAACTCCGTGTGTCTTCATGGTGCTGAGGGTAATTGTTAGCTGACAGGCATTCACCACTGCTACTTCCAAAAAAGAAAACAGAAAGCACTGAGGAAAGGATTTCCCCCAACCCCCACCTTTTTAGGAGGTAAGTGGCAATAGTACTGAAATACAGCTATGTTTCTTAACATAGAAGTGATCAGCAGTGATAGATTGTAAACATATACTGGAGATATGGAAAGGACATCTGATAAATGCAGTCAGATATATCAGGAGCAGAATGAGAGTTCAGGCTGTTGTATGCTGTAACAATCAGAAGGATCAGTGTGGTGGAATGGTAATACAAGAGGTGTGATGACAAAAGGACTAGTGTGGTAGAAAGGTGTTACAAAAGAGAAAAAAGCTCACCCATCTCTGAAGATTTAGGCTTGTAAGGGAAACTCCACAAGGAAAGGATCTCCAACCAGAGATCCTTGGTGGCAGTCAGCCCTTAAATGAGGTCTAAGAGAGATGCAGCCAGGCTCCACTCCAGTCACACAGCTGAATTGCCTTCACCTGTGCTCTCAAGGCTGACCAGGTCCTTTCCCCAGGTGCTCAATCAGTGGTTCACGCCGTGATTCAGCAGCTCGCATACATATGGAGACCAGCAATCTAATATTCAAAGGCAAAATACAAGCTCATTTCATTCCTCTTAAGTACCTCTTGAGTTGTGATCATCTGGTCATAAGCAAAAGTGTGGTCACTGAATAACAACTGGGGTCTGTGTGTAATAGTTCTACATTTTGATGTCCTTTCTAAAAACAACAACAACAATGAAACAGTTTTGCTCTTGCAATATCATTGGAGTTGATTCAAGTATGTACTCTGTTAGTGGAAAACTTTAAAGTTCTATCCTGGTCAAAGATTAAAAAGAATAAAAAAGTAGATTTCTCCCAAGTATGGGCTTCATGGTTGACAGACAATGACTAACAGCACTAAGACATAGAGTAAAACCTAATGGAATTAACTGACCATGTATAGTTAATTGCATACACTGTTCCAGTTAAAGGTTGTGCAGTTTTATTTGGTTGACTTTCATGCTTTTGATATGGAGGGATGAGCATTTGTCAGTCTGCTGTCTGAGGACAAATCTGTATTGGAAACTGACTGGAGTGGTTTTTGTTCTTCTTTTCTTCTAGTATTGGATGAATGAGTATACATCTTCCCTTGGAATTGGAGTATTCCATTCGGGTATAGAGGTGTATGGCCGAGGTACGTACATAACCTGTCTTTTGTGCTAGAAGTGTTGCTACAACAAACAAACAAATGTATGTCAGGTAGTGAGGGAAATCTGGTTCCTGAAACCTGTTTATCAGTTTCCTTTCAGAGTTCTCTGGAAAAAAAGAACACGTGGGTGTCAATTTGGAATCATCCTGCATTCTTGTGTAAAGCTGTGTGTGCAACTACATCACAGTATGCTGACTCTTCCCCTAGAAATAGCAATACATAGCTCAGGTTTTGAAACACCAGCTGTATGCTTCATATAAATGAAATGGGACCATTTCATCCGTATTCTGCCAGCACTCGTGCAAGGAGTTAATTTTTAATTGAAGAGACAACAGTTTATTTAAAAGGTGATCGTGCCTGCTGTTTATTTAACAAAGACAGACCTCAGATAAATAGAGCAGCACAGTCTGAATTTGCTAAATAGGCTGTACTGTGGGATGCAGCTTCCTGAGCTGTTTTGTGCCTCTTTCAGTTCCTGCTGCTGCCAAAAAGGGTGTTTCTGAGTGTGTTGTAGCACAGGCTTGGGTCTAAGGTCTTCACACCTTCTGGGAAAACCAGCCTAGGAGATGAAGGTGTTGCTATAAGTAGCCTATTTAAAAGTAAATAAGCCTCCTTAAGTTTTTTTTTTTTTTTACTGGGATGTGTTTGGAGGTAAGTAAAGGTGGTGGCATGTGATGCAAAACCAATGCTGTGCCAAGTATCTTATGCTGGAGGTGTTTCAGTGGCCAGAGCAGTAACACTGCCATTGGGTTTGCAGTGGTGAATTCATGAAATATAATGCTTGTTGTTAAAAACTTACTAAAATGTCATTTAATCCAAACCAGAAAGACCTGATCTGTAATAGCATTATGCCTTAAACACACTTGTGCTGTGCCAGATACATGTGCCTCCCCGTCCTGTTCAGGTCATGGCAGCTTTCTTTCTCATGTTAGAGATCATTTCCCTGCTGGAAGAATGACTTGCATTTTTCAAAGTACCTCACACTTTATTTATTTACCTGTTGTAAAAAAGATCATCCACAGAACTGCATGGTAGACGTGGATGGTTTAGTGCAAGTTTTTAGGAAAGGAAGTGTAAAGTCATGCTTGAAGCTTTTTATTGTACCTTGGGAGTGGCACGTTGTTATCATACAGACACAGAAGGAAGTTGAAGCATACTGTGATACCTCCATGAATTCTAAGGACTTAACACCAGCAGATGTCATGTGCTGACTTCAGATCCATGCACAGGTTTATTTTTCTATTAGAGAAGAGCTTGGGATGGTGAACTGTTGCTTAGCAAGAGATTCAGAAATGTATTAGGCTAACACTAGTTGCCACATGTATAGCTGTAGCACGTCATCAGACCTTAGAGGATGCAGTCCTTTGAATCTCTAATCTAAATGTGTAAGAGGATTTTTGGAGATCAACACATGTGAAACACGTAGGTAGAATTTACAATTTCACTTTTAAATCTTCACTTCTGCAATGAAAACAATTACATACTTATTAATTAAATCTGCATGCTGATATAGGAAGTTTCTTGTCAGTTTTTGCTGAGGTCGACTACTGATCAACAAAACGATTCATTGCCAGCTCCTTGCTATCCAAGTGTAAATGCAGCATCTGATGTCTGGCTTTAGATCCTCTTGAAGTTCTCGTTGACTGGAATATCCCTGGAATCGATCCACCAGTCAGGGAGGTCTGCAGTTCTTACTTTCACTTTGTATCATTTTTGTTAAATCTGAGCTTTCTTTTTCAGAATTTGCCTATGGTGGTCACCCATACCCTTTTTCTGGAATATTTGAAATTTCTCCAGGAAATGCTTCCGAGCTAGGAGAGACATTTAAATTTAAGTAAGAAACATCTCTCTTCTTGTTTTTGAGAAAATAGGTTAAAAAGACACTTTGTTGCATGGATAGATATGTTAAATGATACTTGAGAATTTCTGACTGAGAAAAGAGTGTTTTCTTTGTTTTGAAAAATAAGTGGACTACAGGTGTACAGCAAGGAAGGAATCTCATATCAGAAGAGACCAGTGCTGTAAAATGGAATAGAAAAAAATCCGTCCTTCTGGGAGGGCAGAAAGATCTTGCCACCCACACAGGGGTATATTTTGAGCAATGTGAAAACAGTTTCTCACCTATTTCATGGAAGCCTGCTCATCCTCATCTCTGTTTCTCTTTTTAGAGAGGCTGTGGTTCTAGGCAGCACTGACTTCATGGAAGATGATATAGAAAAAATAGTAGAAGAGCTTGGAAAAGAATTCAAAGGAAATGCTTATCACCTAATGCACAAAAACTGCAATCACTTTTCTTCAGCTTTATCTGAGGTAAACAAACACTGGGGTCTATAGAAAGGTGCGTCCCAGGTGGCTACAGAGCATCATCTCCTTCCTGTCCTTCGGGTTGTTTGGCATAATTTCCAGTGTCTTATCTTTGGTACCTTGTGTAAATGTTACCCTTTCTTCAGATATTTTGTGTGTGTGTGTTTTTGGGAGAAAAATGCAAGCCTGTGGTGCCAAAAGTGCTGAATGTTGTTACATGCAGCTTGTGTTCCAGAAGGTGGTACTGCTAATTGAGAGACCCAGTAAAGCAAGTATTAACAGGGTTCCAAAATCTTTACAGACACTTCAGAGACAAGTGTGGCAGACAGAACCAGATGTAATTTCCATTACACAGTGCCCTTGCATTCAAAGTGCTTGCTAAAGAATAACAGAGGCATTGAAGTTTCATAGATGATGTTTAGCTTCTGTTTGAGGGGCTTTTGTCAAGTTGTCCCTCTGCCAGTGCCTGCGTCCTGCTACATGCCTCTGTGGTGGTGCAGAATAGCTGACTGTGGAATTGAATGGGCATGGCATTTCCCTCTCACCCTTGTTTTAACCTTTCCAGTTTGCCAGCACAAACAAATGCCTGATCACTTACGTGCTTGTAGAGACACAGGAGAAACAAACAACCAGGAACAGGTAACCCAGGACAATGAAGGGAAAGACAGTTGTGTTTTTACTACTAGTTGCTAACCTGTGCTCATCAGAATTTATTCTAATGCTCACTGAAGTCTTTCAAACAAGGACTGGCTGTGTTTTCCATGACAAACTTCCATAAAACTCAGCTGCTTTTCATTCAGAATATTTAGTCTTGACAAAGCACAGGCTACACAAAGAGTCTGATTTCCAGTGGTGCTGGAACATCTTGAGATGATGATTTGTGTGCAGTGCTAGTAGGAATAAGTCTGGTGAAATACTGATGAAGCTGCAGTTGGCATGAAGTCTGGCCAATATAGCCAGGCATGTGCTGCACTCATGAACTCATGCTCATGTTGTTTCTGTTTTAACTCATCCTGTTTAGTGTTTAAGCTGGCTAAAAACTAGGGATATAACTTCAAGTAAAACGCTCTTCAGCTACAACAGAGTAATGCTCTTGCTAGCTGTGATTTACTCCAGATTTGCATTGGGGTAAGTAATACCAGAAATGAACATGGATGCAGTTAAGTAAAATAGGTCACTTCTTCAGTAGTGTCAACAAAAACATTTAATGATTGATGTACAGTAAAAACAACCATTTAATGCAACTTTTATGTATTTGAGGAGTTGAAAGCAGCTTTGCATTGTATAGCCACTCTTGTTCTAGCAAACTTACAGTCTGTGTGCTGTAAGATACTGATCTCTTGTCCAAAGTCATCAGAGGCCATCACAGTAAATCACAGAATCCTTAGAGTTGGAAGAGACCTCTGAGGGCCTTTTAGTCCAACACCCCTGCAATGAACAAGGACACGCACAGCTAGATCGGGTTGCCCAGGGCCTGATCCAGCCTTGCCTAGAAAGTCTCTAGGGATGGGGCACCTACCACATCTCTGGGCAGCCTGTTCCAGTGCCTCACCATGCTCACTGTAAAAAAAATTTTCCTTATACCTAACCTACATCTACCCTCTCTGAGCTTGAAGCCATAAAAATATCCCCATTGCATGCATAACTCCACATAACTGTAGCACTGACACTGTCCTTTTGACTGCTTCATTTCTGGGTGTTTTTTGTCATAGCAAGAGCTCTCCTTCAGCTGCTGTTTCTGAGGAATTCTTTGTGAATATGAAACATACCTGAACTCATTTGTTTGCCTTTTAAAGAAGTTATTCACAAAATGAGGTGGTTGGGCTGATCAGAACTCTACCAATGATAATGATAAAAAATGGAGTATAACCACATGTCAAACTTGCAGTGGAAAAAAAGTGTCTGCAAATTGGGACTCTGCTTTTACTGATGGTGGAAATTGTTTTCCTGCAGCTAACTTGTGTCTTGTGATACAGAGAGAGTCAGACTGCAGCAGCTTTCGCCGATTCTTTACAGTAATTAACATCCATTACTGCTCAGTCCAGAACATGAGTTAATTCTTTCTTTTCTCCTTTTCTTGTAGATTCTGTGTGGAAAAGAGATTCCACGATGGGTGAATCGCCTCGCCTACTTCAGCTCTTGTATACCGTTTCTCCAGAGCTGTCTGCCGAAGGAATGGCTGACTCCTGCAGCCCTCCAGTCCAGTGTCAGCCAGGAGCTACAGGACGAGCTGGAGGAAGCTGAGGACGCAGCAGCATCTGCTTCCTTGGCAAGCTCAGCATCTGGGTCTAGAACTGGACGCCACACCAAATTATAAGTCCTCCTCCAAAGTACTAAATGGTTTGAAATACTTCAGTTTAATCTCTCCAGCAATTGACTTTCTGACAGAACGTGAGAGCTGACTCCAGAACATTGTCTTTATATGCAAAAATGGCTCTCATCAGCCCCTGTTTCAGCTCAGGATTATTTAAGTAGCGAAAAGAATTGCTGTGAGAAAAGGGAAGGATGTTGTGTGAAGCCACCCTTTTCATTTTCACCTGTTTGCTAGACCTGAGTTAACATCTTGTATAAAGTAGAACTTAAATTATTTGTTTACAGTATTGTGTACTGCTGTTTACAAGTCCTATAAGGACTCCTGCCACCATGGAAGAAGAGAGAACGTGAGTTTTGCTGGTGTAACTCGAAGGCAGTGGTATGATGATGCCCTGGCTATGAACTCTCCCCTTTGTTTTCAAGACCTAAGGCAGGTGAAACTTAAATTTCTGAGAAATGCTAGAAACTGCTGAATGCTATCCATGTGAACAGGGTACCGTACACTCAAAGTGGCTGATGTAAACAGGTAGATTGCAGGATGTAGGGAGACTGATTTTTGTGTAAGATCTGTTATTGAAGTATGACCTCTACATTCATGAAGCTGAGGATTTTTGCACATATGAAGTGAAATTTCTATCTCATTACACTGCCCACTGATCCCTCACATTTTGTTTTTTCTTTTAAATTCAGCCATGCAGTTTGCATAGTATCTTCTGTCCATATTTACAGTCTACTTCAACCAGAATTTAGATCTATGATTATCGCCTCTTAAAAACATCAACAGTTTTTTCACGGTTTGTGTTACTTGATTTAAAACTTGTATATACAAAGTTAGTGCTTGTATTATTTTTTTTTTTTAATTTTATTATTATTTCACGTAGTTTGAATAGCATAATACAAGCCATTTATGGTTGGGGAATGGCCTTGCTTCCTGCTGCTGATTTTGCTTCATTTAAGTTTATAAGCATCAATGGGTTTTGGTTTTGTTTTTTTTTTAACCGATATATTAGCACCCGGTTGGTTGTGCATATCTGCACAAATTACAGAGAAATCTTAATTTATTTTCCCACAGTTTCTATCTGTGGCATTAACTTTCCTGTCAGATGTAACGAAGAAAGACCTGAAAATTGCTTATGCACCTGCGTGTTTACACAGCAGAACCTGCTAATCTGCACACGTAATTATGTCTGAAGGTAAGAGATGCTATTTTCTAAAACACAGAAGTATGTTTGCTGGTAGATTATAATTAGAGCTAAGTTATAATTAGTGATCAGAATATATAATGGAATGCCTTATTCTTGTTCACTTACCAAGAGAATTAATGGTTCTTCCAGTCATTAGTGTGAATTGGCGAGGTTCTGTTGTGCACATGAGGATACAGTAGCACAAATATGAGGGAGGTGAGCTTGTGTATGTTGTAAGACTCGCTGCCTTAAACTGTAACAAAACATCTATAAACTGATGAGCTCTCCAAGAAGTGTGCATTACTAGAAACATAAATGATTTTTACAAGCTTTATTTTTGATCTGTTGCTCAGTTTAATTTTTTCCATCAAGTGAAGTACTGACTCTAACTTTTCTGTTGTTCAAAAGGGGAAAAAAAAAAATCCTCCTAGGAGGCAAGAATGCTTAATGCTGTGTATTCTCCAGGCCATGGGTAGTCAGTGCCATGAACCCTTCAGGAAGGTACAGTAGGTTATGTTCTAGTAAGAATTTGCATCATGGCCAACTCAATTCATGGTTGAAAAGAGCAAGAAGTTTTTCTTCTGGCAGTTGGGCTGAAGCCTTTGGAAGACAGCCTTGAAGCTTTCACTCATCTTCTGTGATACACTGTAGTGACAGAAAGATAAGCTAGTATTCAGTACTGAGGAAGAATCAAGAGCCATTTTTTTCAGAAGAGTGGGATAGTTGTAGAAGTCTTGTTATCTGTGCTTTGGTACATGTATTAATGATCTCTTCTACCAAGTGGGAAATGCTCAAGACTGACAAGTCTACCATGATATTTCTTTGCTCTCCAGAATTTGGACATACTGACTCGTTTTGTTTTTCCACTTGAATCTCTGAATTGGGGGTGGGTTTTTTGGTTTATTTTTTCCTGGTGTGAAAATGAGCATGGTGGTCTCCAGTCAGCTCTCAAGCATTACAGAATGAACTATTGCACTGCTCACAGCTAAGGTGACAGACTGTAGGTGTGTCGTTCCGTCTCTCCTGTGCAGCTGTAGTAGTAATGTGACTCTTGGCCAAGGCAGGTCCTTTATTTCAGCTCAGGGTTGAGGCCACTGATCTAGCAACGTACTGTAGCTCTTCCTAGGTTTTAGGAAAAATAAATAGGATAAATTTTCATTGCTACCTAATTCTTCTGTACCAAAACCAGCTTTTTAGGCTTCTCAGATATCCAGAGCTCTAGATCTCAAATCTCTACACCTTCATTAACACAACTACAGTATGTACAATGCAAGAAAGTGACAGATCACAGCACAGTTTTTGTTTAGAAGTAAAACTAAGAATATTTTTTATAAAGCAGACTGGAAAGTTTGTAACAATTGTTCATTTTATCAGTAGCTGTACAGACGAAAATACTGTCTTACACTCCACTTTTTGTTTAAATACATCCATTTGTAAGTCCTGTGAGGAAACTGACACCTGAACCCTGAAGGCTGTTGGGTATTGCATCCAAGCAAGTGGTACTGTAACTTCAATCACGTGCTGTGAACTTGGCCTCCGCTGGATGCCCGCAAGAAGTCACCCTGCCAGCGGTTACTCCGATCTGTTAGCAATAGAGCAAGTTACCTTTCACCAGCATTACTGCCAAGCAGGGATTACTTTAGTCTACTAATGACCACACTGTGCTAGGACTAGAACACTCCAAAATGCTGTGAGAAAGCTGGACACCTGTGGAGTCTTTTCCATCAAAACGGGTAGAAAAATAATTTGCTACTTCAGGGTTCTGCTCTGTTTACTTTCTCATTCTCCTTTAGTTTTCTGTAAGGTAATCCTTTTGATACCTAGTGTACTCCTTAACTGTCATTTTATTTAAATGCCATTTTCAGTTCAGCAAGCCAAAAAAAATCCAATGTACTGTCAGTGTGCACCAGAAACTTCAGAGTGGCTTGGTAAAAATATACTTGCATTACTTCTAAAATTTGCAATGCAATTCTGATCACTATTGATACATGGTAATTTTCACTGTTGGAAGTTGGTTACAAGCTGAATAATCACTGATGCATTTTGTTTTGTAAACTTGTATTCAAGTTTACTGTACTACGTAGTATTTGTATAAAATTCAAAGAATTTTGACTTTGTTACCTTGTACATGGCAACAAGTTGTCTAGCATCTTAAATCCATCTGTTTATTAAAAATACTTTTATAAAAAAAGACAGTTGGCTGTGTTTTTCTTATTCTCCTGGTACCTATAGCCTGTATTTATTGGTGCCGTGTGAGCGGACATCTTCTTTCAAACAATGCCTTACCTGAAAGGTGGGTAGTTTTGCTATAGTTACTTGAGCTATATAGGCCATATTCTGTTTTTGGCAGCTTGGTTTGTTTGAAGCATAATTAAAAGCCGTTAGTTTTTAATGGGCTCGTTTCTGAAAGTTTTCATATTCTGCATGCCAACCAATACCTGTGGGCACGCAGCCACTTGGAGTATGCTTGGGTTACGTTGCAGGTATTACATGCCATGCCGATGTGCTCCAAAACCCAAATCTGTAGTCTTGGCTTTGCAGCAGACTAAACAAATGCTAGGTAATGCCCCAGGGGCTCAGCTGTTAGTGACAGATCACTGACAGCCAGCAGGGAACCTGGGCTCTGTGTTCAGCTATGCTTTGTGAACTAGGCACAGCATCTCCACGTATGCTGCTGCAGAGGAGTGGCAAGGATAGGAGTTGGTAGAGAAGCTGCTGGAGTATAGGTGCGTTACTTTGTCCAACTGGACCCAAATCACTGTGAGAGCTGCAGAGGTGGGAGGAGCTTACTGAAACGAGACTTCACAAAGGAGACGGAGTACTTCTCTTAAAACTAATAATGTAAATACAAAGATCTGTTTTGCCTGGGGATTTTCCACTCCACTCTTCAAGATTTCACTTCTGTCACCTCTTAAAAGCAGAAATTTTGAGAATGTAGATGAGTGAGAAGTTCTGTACTGTTGTTCCAGAAAACACACTTGTGACATCCAATGGCCAGAAGTGCTTATCCACTTGAAGAAGGCATTCAGTAACCAAAAGGTATATATAGGGTAAATGATGTGTGTCAGAGTTTCTTTCCTCTTTCTCCCTCAAAAAGTTACTCTGTAACTCACATTTCTTGTACCAGGCCTGTGTTAGAATCAGTAGCTCATCATGTGTTCAAGTGTTAGCTTCCAACAAATTAATTCACATGTGTTAAGCAGTATGATTTGAGTAAGAACTAGCAAAAGCTGATGATAACATGCCAGCTCGAATGTAAAAGTCACTGATATTCTTATCTTGAAGAGACATAAAAAGCACAGTAAAGACACTGAACGACAACCTGGAGGAAACAGGCTACATAGCTACTGTACCCACTGTAACACAATAGAAAACACAGCAATGATAGCAGAGTAACAAAGTCTAAGCTATAGCAAGAGAGCACTTGCTCAAGTGCAAGAGCCGTGGGCACAGAAACAGAGGAAAGAATCCACTTACCTTTGGAAGGCCTCAGGTACGCAGGGATCTCCAGCAAGATACCCTTGCTCTACTGCCAACCCTTAAATGAGGTCTGGGAAGGGGTGGATCCTGGCTCCACCCCTTCCAGTCACTCAGATGCACTGCATGCACCTGAGTTCCCCTGGGTTGGCCCTGCCTTCCTACCAGGTGCTCAATCACTGGTTCAAGCCTTGACTTAGCATTTCTGTTACACAGATATGATTTAGGGCTTTGTATTAAGTGGAAATGAAAGTTCATATAGTGCTTAGCAAAATTCAACTCAACAATAAAGCATTGCCAAAATCTGTTCCTGAAATACAAAACAGCATCTACTGTTTGTAATGGCTGCAAAACTGTTCTATAATCTTGTTTCATTTGTCCTTCTAGCTTTCTGTTAGTAACAAACCAGATGCTGGTCTAACAAAATTCTCTGCCAGCAACTGCATTTTCAGTTTCTCTGTTCTGGATGGCATTGGAAGATAAGACTCATGAAAGAGGAGTCTGATTTTTGTGTGTATGTTTGTGTGCTTCTTCCAATTCTTGTTCCTACATCAAAAAAAAAAAAAAAAAAAAGAAATCAGCAAGGCCAGCCACACACCCAAACTCCTGCCAGTCAACCAAAGCAGCCTGCTCTGGGGGAGGATTCCCAGGCCTTGGAGGATGCTCTCACCTCTGCAATTGTTCTCTTAAAGCTCCTCTGCCCTTCAACAGCCTTATGGTTTCCACACGCAGTAAGAGGTTTAAAAGCAGGATGACAGATGGCTTTGGCGGGCCTCTCATCTCTGCACTCTTCTGAGAAGCCTCACTTGGTTGCATTGTAGGTCAGGGTAGCTTTGGTTGTCTGTTCTAAAAATGCTGAAGTGGCCATGACAAAACAACCAGGGACAGTACAAGGATGACCCGCTTTCAGCTTCCACAATCCAGCAGTTTTGGAGCTGTCTTTTGAAAGTGGCAGTGCCCTGTGCTAACCCATCCACAAGGACATCTTGCGCTGCTCCAGGCAGGCCAGCCCACCATCCACCTTCTCTCCAATGTGTGGCGAGGCCTTTCTTGGTTTCCATGGGAACCAGCTGCTGTGTTTTGCTATTACAAAAAATATGCTATAATACTAAAACTCACGGAAGTGCTTTGCTCCAAGAAAAAGGATTTTTCCATGCGTTTTCCTGCCCACAGTATAACACCACCTTCATAAACACCACAGGAGCCCAAGCCAAACCCCAGAAACAAGTGTGGCACTGCCAGCTCCAGGTAGGGTTTAGCAGGAGGAAGAGGAAGTAGAGCCAGAGCACTTCCAGGTTCTGAGAGCTCCTGGCAGGTGTGGGTCAGCTCAGTACAAATGGCAGCACTGCTGCTGCTGCTGAAGGTGAAACCCACTGTTGGCACTACAGGTGCTGGCAAAGTACAGATGCCACGAAAATACAGAGGCGTTTTCAGGAGAGAAATGGCAGGGCTCAGTTTAGGTAGAACGGCTGGAGCTGGGGCTCATAGCTGGTGTGTACTCCCCAGCTCTGCCACAGCAGCAGCAGCTGGAGCCATGAGAACTGTGCTTTCCACACAGCACTGTACCTGTGGGAAATCACTTCAGTGGAAGAACGACCTTCTTAATGGGTGATAATAAGGCAAATGAGAGGGAATATCTGGAAACAGAAGTTAGCGGGTTGAAGTTCATTTTTAGGGTGAGTTCCGATAAATTTTGTCAAAGTCACTCGCATATTGTACAAAAATGCAGTCAAGAATACAAAAATACTGAAGGCAGCCAAGTCAAACACAAAGCATTTTTGTTCATTATGCAAACATTACAGCTGATCATGGCACTAATAAGTGTTCATTACTGAGAAGTTCCCATGTTCCCCAGTGCAAGAAAGCCACATAATCTTGTAAATGAACAATTTTCTTCATTTCTTCTGTGAAATTCACTCAGAACAATTATAATGAATTAGTCCTGACCTCATTTGTGGAGAGACTCCCGTAGCAAAGCTCTATGCAACTTGAGGAGATAAAGCTAGAAATCCTCGGAGTGCGATCCCTGCTCTATTGTCGGATGTTTTCCTTGTGCAGCGTTAAAGCACTGCTATGCAAGCCTCAGGAACATCAACACTAATCACTGCAGTTGTGCAACCGAAGTCATAAGGAAACATACAAAACAACAAATAAGCAATTAGATGCTAAATTAAGAAGCAGAATTTGGTGACTGACAGTCCATCAACGGAGGAACAAAATCCCGTGGCAGACAGCTCTGGTACTTCATGGAAGAAAGACACAGCTCAGGAAATGCCTAGGTATGGTACAGATAGCAAAATGCCTCACGGTGCTTGATTTAAAATGTATGCTTAGATTATCAGTGACGTGATGGGAAACAACACAGTGGTCATTCCATAGATGAGGACAACAAAAGAATACATATAGAATGTATAAGCCACCAATTAAAACATACAGAGCTGTAGCTTGGTTCTTTGGATTCAAGATGATGGACAGTTAAGGCATGATTCAGTTGCCTACATTCAATTGCATTGGGTCCCTTTTGGTTCAGCTCCTCAGACATAAGGTACTTTTCCAGCTGATTTACTATTGCCAAGGAAACAAAGAAAATCACATATATGTGAAAGGAACTTGTTTGGCAAGGACAAGATTTGCAGGATTGAGCAGGTTCCCTGTCATGTAGCTCTTCCGGGGCATCCACCTGAGTTTTCCTTCCAGCTCACATCAGAGGAAAACAGCAGGAGACAGATCTGCTTTCAGAATATTCTTTACTTGGTCTTAAAAGACACTTCAGAGAGCTGTATTGCCAAACTCTATGTCGAATTACCCATCTGCTTGACCAAAGTTGATGTAATCTTTTTAGATTTCAGCAAAGCTGCTGATATGGTTTCTCACAGCAACTCTGGATGTACAGATTTTAAGTCCCAGATTTATTTGGAACACAATAGGTGTCTCTTTAAAATTTTACCTATGACAGGCATAACTTCATGTTCTTATAAGACATGGTAAAAGAACGGTCTCTAAAAAGAATGCCAGGCATTATGTCATTACGTTTAATTCAAATTGTGAAACAGTTCCCAAAACCTCACCAGTTTATTTATTAGATCTTCTCCAGAAAAAGTGGAGCTGTTGGAGTACATTTGGAGGAGTACCATTTAAGCATTTTATTTATATTTCAGTAACCATCAGCTCCTTGGTTATCAGGGGTGTTCCTAACATCAGTGTCACGTGTCAGCTACACTTGTAAGTGAGTATGAGTGAGAATAACTCACCAAATCCAAAGCTAAAGCAGGTAATTGATGAACTCCTGCAGATTTTAGTTGAGAAAAGCACTAAATTTTGATGCTATCCACAAATGTGCTGCAACTTTTTTCCATTCATTTCACATTCATATGCAATTTTACTTTATAAAGAAAGACACATGGACTGATTTTAGCTAATTTTTAAAAGCAAACTGTTCAGAATCTTCAAGGTTATGTAAATGCTTTTTAAAACAGAATTGTTCATAGTTAGGATGGCTAATTTCCTGGAAAGTTCCTGGAATTCATTTTAACATATATTCCTGAACATTTCACCAAAACAAAGAGCTCTCCAGAACCCTATAGCCTATCAATAGCTTCAGACTGATTAAGGTTATTAATATTGGTTGTTTGGGGGGGCAGATGTTAGCATACAGACACTGTGAGTTTTGATAAATGCTAAAATACCATACAATCAATACACAACAGCATCATTAAATAAACCCTGTTTTTTTGTCCAGAAGGATAAGAAATCGTTATGTGATTTCTATGTCAGCAAGAGGTTAACATATTTAAATGGCACTATGTTCTTGGGAAAGATAGGTCTGAAAGGGATTCCAAGATGCAATGCTGCACAGATTTCTGTCCTAACACAAAATCATTTATTCCAGCAGCTTGTCTCTACTGTCCTCGGGACCTCATGTGAGGGATACTTTTGCTCCATCCACAAGGAAATGCTTCCTATTGCCTTTATCAATCTGTCCTCAGCAGGAGGCTTGGAAACTAACAGATTCCTCATCCTCATCCCCATCTGTGTTCATTAGGAACCACAAGTGAATAAATCAGTTAAAAATCTCTCAATCTGGAGAGCTCCTTAGACACAAAAAAAGCCTTTGTCCCTTTGGTAATATCCAGAAGGGGAACAGCAGTTTTTTTCCTCTTGCACTTTGCCTTGTTGCTCTCACAGTAAAGGCTGGAAAAGTAAGGGGTGGAGCTGGTGGCTGCTGCTGCCCTGAAGGGGCTAGATGCTGATCTTCCATGGTTAGGAGGTAATGCAATGATTCCAGGCTTAGTGGATCAGTTTGGAAATATTCAACTTGATCCCCTTTTTGAAAGCTCCCTCCTGCTTCAGAAACTATTTTTGTCCACCCACCCAAGGCGTTATATTTTTGTCTAGCTATATGCTGGACATTCTGTCCAGAAAAATACTGTGCAAAACAGTGTTCAAAGTTTTGGATACTAAACTAAACTTTCGAATCTAAACTAAACTTTTGAATCTAAAAAGATTAGGTCAGCTGGCTTCCCTTGGCCAAGCAGATGGGTAACCTTGTTGTAAGAGGAAATTAAGACCACAGAGTTTACCCCTGTGAATCCGTGTTAGCTGTAACCAACGACTGCATTGTCTTTTGGGTGTTTTACAATAACTCTCCATAATTCTGCCAGGACTGATGTGAGACTGACAGGCCTGTTTTGAGCAGGGTATTCTTTCTTACCTTTCCTGAAAACAGGAACAATGTTTGCTAGCTTCCAGGTGACTAGGATCTCTACAGATTGCCACGGCTGTTGAAAAATAATTGAGAGATGTCCCACAGTGACATCAGTCAGCTCTCTGAGTACCCTGGGATGAATCCCACTGTGTTCCAGACCTATATACATCCAACTGGAGCCACAAATTCTGCACAAGTTCAGGGCTGGCTGGGAATCTACTGTTACTGCATTCACAGTTCTCCAGCTCAGGGATTCAAAGGTCCCACAGCCTGTCATCAGTGTTGAAGACAGTGTTGAAGACACTTCTCTGCTTTGTCTGTGTCCCTGTCTGTGAGGCGATCATCTTCATAAGGAACAGACCAGAGTTACCACCTCTGGACCTTCTTTTACTTTGGACATGCTTACAATTAGGTTGGAAAAAACAGAACTCTGAATAACACTAGTTTTTTAATACTCATGAAAAGTCTTTGAACAAAAAAAAAAAAAAGAAAAAAAAAGAAAAAAAAAAAGAGAGATTTAAGATAAAGTGCTTTATCACAACAATCACCTCGATCAACTAATTTAAAGTACCCTCACAAGAGCTAAAGAAATGTAAAAAGGAAATTATGAAATATACATGTCACTCCAAGGAGCAAGGATGAGAGGGAATCAGATGGTACTGACACTATTATTCAGTATTACACTGTTGTAAACCCAAGCTAGCACTCTGAAGGATCATTCGTCAAAATAAGCACTCTCTTCCCTTCCTCATCTAAGAAATGGCTCTTCTTTCCTCTCTGAAGCACAAGATTAGATGAAGTAAGCTGTGCAGCTTTCTGCCAACGCAGACTTCTCCAGAACTGGAAGAATAACTCACCATCACCAGCTGCCTCTGATTGATGTTTAGGCCATTTTAGCTTCAATGGACCAGAAAAACTAATCTATTAGACATAAGTTATATCCAACTTTCTAAGAATTTTAAACAGTTTATAAGCAAAATAACAAAGTGTATGTTTAGTTTCTACTCTTGTTCCTGCAGAAGTACCTGAGAAAGCATCAGTTCAACATACTGGAAAAATACAACTATCAGCATAAATTAAAAGAGTGCTCTGCACAGCTTGGTAATCACAGAATGCCCATGCCCAAGAGCTCTGCAACTGAATTCACTAAACAGCTGGCGATCTCACTGATGAGGATAATGGCATGGGTGAGGACAAACCCACCATTAATGTCAGTAAGACTCCAAGGGCTTCTCCAGCAGCATGGCTAAATAGGACATGCACACAGATCCCACCAGTCCCTCAGGAACAACTGCCCCGGAACCCCAGACAGCTCCAGCTGCCCTACCATTTCCCAGACCTCAGAATACCAACAGCCTCTGCCACCAGCCATCTCACATCAGGTGCTCATAGAGATGAGTGACTTTAGCCCAGCACCTGTGGCTAGGAAACCACTGTTCTCCAAAATTTAAATATGACAGGAGGTCACAGCCCTCGGTAGGGAGTCACCAACAGGCTGACCTAGCCAGGTCACAGTGTGACAATAGAAAGAGAGCAGAATCTTTTGCTGGAAGTATTTAATCTCTGAGCCTTCTCAGAAAACAGCAGAAAATTCACCACATAGAGAAATATTTATATGCTAGATCCCACAGCCTGCAGGCAGCACACGACCCTGGACAGCTAGTAATGCAACCTCACAAGATGGTAAATTTTTAAGCCTTATTCCATGATTTTTAGTGATATTTTTCACGAGTTGATTGTGAGTAGCTTGAGTGTGGACCACATAGAATGGGATGCTGTGGGTGGGCACAGTGCAGCACTGATTCTGCCTCTTGCACCTGCCACACACGCAGTCAAATCAAAACCTGCATGCATAACACATCACATGCATTTGTGGTTTTGGTGAGTAAAACACAGTGGTTGCTGATAATAATAATTCAGTTCAACTACCCGTGTGTTGTACCTGTGGCACGCCGGTGATGGCTGGGAAAAACATCCAGTGAATTATCACTGCAGTGTAAATCAAGAACATTTACGTGCTGAAGCTTTAAAAACTGATAATGTTTGCAGATTGTCATCAAAGCTGTGAATTTCATAAAGTTCAAGGGACTGAATTGTCACCATTTCCAGCAGGTTTTTTTTAAAGTATGGATGCCAATTATGGGAACATTTATTTCCTTTTCTGAAGCAAGGTGTCCTAGAGTAAAATGCTACAAAGATTTTATGACCTGCAACATGAAACCAAATCATGGAATCAAAATGAAAATTTGTGCCAGAACATGAAGAGGAAAAATGGTTCACAGGGTTGCAAACGCATGGGGATATTCAACTTACAGAAAAATGTGATCACGTTGCTCTACTAGATTTTCATAAGAGAAAGATATCCCTCTCTTCACAACCACACCTTATTCCTGTCATTGATTTCAAGTAATACATGCATTTGTGAAAAATTGTTCAAGGATGAAGCACAGGACGAATAAAATTTCATCAAACATCTCTGATGAACACCTTTAGAATTCACTAAGAATTGCAGCCATTGCCACTGAACCAGGTTGATGTATTAGTTTCACAGAAAAAAAAAAGAAAAAAAATAGAAAAAAAAAAAAAAAAGGTCAAATATCCCACCAGTTTTATGTTTTCATTGCTCTCTTTTTTTATGGTTCATCAAAGAATAGAAAAGTTTTGTTACTTACATACATTGACTATATTATATATTTGATATGCGGCCCAAGACAACTCCTCTTCATTCAGGATCTCTTGGATGCAGCTGTCTTAAGAGTATGCTCTGTTAGTTCCAATGGAACAAAGCACTTGGCATCTGGCAGGCTGCAAGAGGACACTCGTGTCACCAAGCAAGGTGGGGAAATGTCAGTGAAACTTATTCTAGAACCAAAAAATCTTGGATGGATGGATGGATGGATGGATGGATGGATGGATGGATGGATGG